TATATGCTAAAAGCTTAGTTAAATAATACAATTTTCTAACTAGCATCACCGACCGATGGAGGTGTTTTATTTGCCAGTCCGGCCAGCTGTGCCCCTTTTCACAGCTAATTTTGTCATTGACGCTATTAGAGAGGGGGAAAATTTTTCAGCCTGTCCGGCAAGCTATGCCCCTACTCATAGCTGGGAATGGTCAGCGACTTCCCGAAGGTATCCTGAAAGCAACGATTTTATTAGAGGTAGAGACAGTTCGGTAGAGGAAACGTGATGCAAACTATTATAATTTTTACATAGCACGCGAAAAGGATTGTGCATAGCGTAGTCTGTTGTGCACGTAGATAGGAACAAGGGACGATAATTTCTAGTTGGTCGAGCCGGAACAGAGAATTGAAGACGCCCTAGCAGAAAAGGAGAATCTATGTCGCCAATAATCAACTTATGTAGAAGGACAACACCGAGATTTGTCCTACGGAAGGTTGAGAAGAAGCAGTCTGCTGGAGTAGGATGGCAACCGAAGATTAGGGTCCCAATTTAAACCACGTAAGGCAAAAAGCAGAAATTGCTTCTAAACAGATTCAGTACGATCCTGGCTATTGTTATACTGTGGAGACCAGATGCAAGAGCAGTATTCAAGGATAGGGCGAACAAGAGAGATGTACAGAAGTTTTGTTATAAAAGGATCGTTAAACTCCTTAGACCATCGTTTAATGAATCCAAGTACTCCTTTTGACTCATTAACGATGGTATCTATGTGAAGATTGAAACAGAGTTTAGAATAAAAAATAACGCCTAGATCCTGAACTGCTACAAATTTTTTAACATACACATTTAGATGCAATTGATTGGCCGAACACCAAAGTTTCATAGCGTTCAAATCGTCTTGTAGACGAGAATGATGTAGGGGATTAGTGTATGATAGAAAAAGTTTGACATCGTCCGCATACATGAGTACACGGGCATGTGATATAACAGAGGGGAGATAATTTATAAAAAGAGTAAAGAGTAAAGGTCCAAGATGACTACCTTTAGGAACACCAGAAGTAACGTGAACCCGTATAGAGGTAGTCAGCCTCAGCATTACTCTTTGGGTCCTACCTTATACATAAGAATTAATCCAAAGCAAAAGAGCAGTGGACCTATTCGGTCAAGTTTAAAAAGTAAAATGTCATGGTGCACAGAGTCAAACGCCTTACTGAAGTCAGTGTAAATGACATCAGTTTGAATATTCGAAAGGAAAGCATCATTTACCAAGGAAGTAAACTCAAGCAGATTGGTCGTAGTTGACCGATTCTTTACGAATCCATGTTGAACAGGGGAAACAACTGATTTGCAGAAATGCTGCAAATTCGAAGTGATTATTTTTTCAAATAATTTAGGAATAGCGGACAGTTTTGCAATGCCCCTGTAATTTTGTATATCAGACTTCCCACCTTTCTTGTGAAGAGGAATGATATAAGATTCTTTCCAAAGAGATGGAAAGACAGAAGTTTTAAGAGATAGATTAAAAAGCTTTAGCAATGGATAAAGAAGGGAAGAAGTGCACTCGACAACTAGGAATATTGTCCGGCCCAGGAGAGTAAGAAGATTTTATAGAGTTAATAGTTAATAGGAGAGAGGAGTGTGAAATAATGGGAGGAGGTATAGAACTATATATATACTTTATGGGGTCGGAGATGTCTCCTTCTATGCGTTACACATTTCACGACAAAATTATAATACCCTCTGCAAGGGTATAAAAAGTTGTGTTTTAACTGCACACGTGTTTGCGGCCGATAGCGAAAATTCCAAGAATTACTGCGCGTCTTCTTCGAATTCTATCAACAGCATTGCAATTGCGATTGTATTGTTTTCTGTTCTGCTATTTTAATTCGTTTTTTTGGTGTTGGACTCTCTTCTAGGTTCAGGGTATCCCATAGACGGAAGCTCTCGACTAAAGCCTCTTACCTGATAATCTTGGTAGACATTTTTAATTTAAATCAAATGTCACACGTCGTAAATAATAACATCTATATTTTCAAGTCTGGACAGTTTTTCGATTACATATGTGTTTATGTTTACATTGTTGAGTTAGCGTAGTGTAAGTTATTTTGTCAACTTATAAATTTTTTAATTATTTGCATGGGAACTGGTGAGAAGAATATCCACACCATATGGATGGATTATTCGAAATCTAATAAGAATGCTATATATGATGTACAGACCATAGATGGACATGGAGAAAATCCCCACCGAGCGACGAGCATTAAAATTCAACACCGATGTCCATAGCAGCGTCGATAGGAGACCCAATATCAATAGGACAAATGCATTTTCCCCATATGATCCAATCAAATCAGTCATTGAAGTACTAAGGCCTAACAAAATCTTGACAGCAATCACACTGCATGTACCCAGAAGAACGCTAAAGAATGGACCCCCAATAGCTGCTGCATATGCCATTTTTTCATACCCCTGCATGGCCATTGATGCATTTGTTATAAGATCGCTCAGGGATGTGGCGACGCATGATACAGTGGCACCCATAAAATCAGGAGGAACTTTTAACATAAAGCCAAGGACCCCCGTTATCAACGTTATTTCGGTGGCACTCTGGAATATCGCAAACATGGATCCAGTAAGATTCATAATTGTAAACAACCAGTGATACGGCGGCGGGACACTGGTGTTTGAGTGGAAAAACACAGCTATTGCTATGGGCACTGTTACCACCAGGGAGTAAAGGCCGTATTTAACGTCATGTGGTATATTATAATACCACAGCTTCGACTTATCTGTGAATAGCATGGCCTTGCCCATTGTGATTGTAAACGCTGGGTTAAGAAAAATTTGTATGCAGTTGAGCAGCTTACTCCAGCCATTCTTCTTCAGCTCGTAGTCCACCAGGGGTATATAAATGACACTTAAAAATACAACTGGGGCCCGAGCAATATAGTAGGCGCGAACTAACATGGTCGCCTGGCGCCATTCATTCAATTTAATGGGCTGAATTGCAGAGAAGAATTCCCTAAAGAGATGGTGATTCTTGCTTCGGTCCCTGGTGTAATATATATTGCGATTGGCTTCCATGTCAATTGTGACACGTTCGCTTCCGACTTTTGTCAAAAAGCTGAAAGTTCGATTATCATTTTGATACGATTTGCGCTGCAATATTGTTACGCGATTATTCTGGGAAAGGATGTCATATTTTTTTTGTAGTATCCTGCGCTTTTCTTTAACTTCTTCTGACTGTGGCAATTCGTACATTTCGTTGATTTCTCGTCTCAAACCTACGAAAAGCGAAAAAATTTAGCCAAGCAACGTAACAATTCAGAAAACACGATACTCACAGTGTAGGGTACGTTTCAAGAAATACACATCGAGCACGTTGACAGTTATGTATATGACGTACAGCGCTATCATTACGATGCACTCAACAATTGAAACCCCATTTTCACTGATTATGAAAAACTCCAACAGCATTGCGCCAAAGATAAAGAAGAGTAGATCGCATACGGTATTATAACCACTCATTTGAAATGGACTGAGATAGCATACCAATCCCCCAGTGAACATGGTTACAAATAATGCCGAAGAAAGGCAATTGCCAAAGATGGGTATCTCGTCATAAATAGCACACATATTGGCAAACATATCTGGAAGTGTGTTGCCAAGTGCCATGATCGTCACGCCAGCCAGATGCTCGTTCATATGAAGCATTCGGGAAATTGCTGTCAATGCCGGAGTGTAATAATAATGCGCCACATGGCTCAAGAAGAGCAACAATTCGAAACATAGAATCAGGAAGAGGGTCACAAAGATGTACTCCTGGAACACGTTTCTACATTTGAATTCGCATGCCAATAAATGCATATACGGCACGAAGTTCGTGCCATGTATGCAGTTATTTGCATTTCTCACAAACTCGCATCTTTGGTCATACGGAAAGTCCAACATAGCAAAACAATTGACCCTTGACCAAAACTCGTCGAATTCTTTATCCAAAACATTTGGCTTATATATTTCGGCCATGATCTTAAGTATAAAGGTATGTATATTATTGTGTTTTTGTATATTGAACTGTGATGTTTAAACTTTGTGTTGCGTTCAAAATATGTCTACTGAATATGATGACTTTAAAATTCTGTCCACACAGCAAAAAACAAAAAGATCACCTGATTGTTTTTCGAACATAATCAAATTTTTTGGATACTTTATAACACATAAAAGTTGTGGACAAAACTAGTCTGTGCTTATCCGAAGAACGATATATATTTATATGAGATATAAACCAGGCTAGATCAAATCAATATTCTTAAGGATATATTCTGCTCCTTCCCACTCACTCATTCTAGACTGCAAAACGCAGCTACAGATCCCCTTTCTATAAAATTCTAAAAGCGATTGGTTCAATAAAGGCTTTTTAACAATTTAATTTGTAAAATTTTCATATATTATTAAGATATATTCCTGCATTAGTTCAACTTGTTTTCATCGTGCACACATTTGTTATTTAATTACTATTTTGCTTTTAGAACAAATTGAATTGTTAACTTTTACGGTAATCCGCTAAAAAGACGTCCGTATTGTATGAATGAATAGTTCCAGACTTTATAAGTATAGCGAATATAAGGAAGAGAACGTAGACGGACATAGAGAATATGCCAACCGAGCGTCGTGAATTAAAATTCAATATCAATGTCCACAGCACCGTTGTAGCAAGTCCTAGAATCAACAAGATATACGCATTCTCGCCATAAGTTCCATTAACACTTTCATAAGTCAAATTTCTGCCAATTAGCCTCTTGGTGAAAAATTCTATGTTAAAGTTTATCATGACATTGAGATAGGCTTTACCAATGGTTGCTGCGTAGGCCATTTTCTCATATCCCTGCAAAGCCAAGGAAACACTGGCCACGAGCTGGCTCAGAGCGGTGGCAATGGGAAGTATAGTCACGCTCACGAAATCGTTCGGAACTTTATATATGCTACTGATCATATTCATTATCAAAGATATTTCAGTCGCACACTGAAATGTCATAAACATGGATCAAGTTAAATTCATTATGATATAAATCCAGTGATACTTCGGCGGACACCCAGTTCTTGAGTGAATCATCACAAAGATGGCCAGCGGCACCGTTATTACCAGGGAGTAGACGCCGTACATGAAAGCCTCATGTATATTGTAATACCAGAGCTCCGATTTGTCTCTAAACAGCATAGCCTTGCCCATTATCAGGGTGATCGCCGGATTTAGGAAAATATGTATGCAATTGAGTAGCTTGCTCCAGCCATTCTTGTGCAGTTCAAAATCGACCAATGGTATATAGATCGTACAAATCAGCGAAACTGGGGCCACGGCGATGTAGAAGATGCGTGGTAGCATGCCAGCATGACGCCAATCAGCCAAAGGAATCGGATTGAGTGCAACGAAGAATTCCCTAAAGAGATTGTGATTCCTGTTACTGGTGCCTCTATAGTTGAATCGATTGGCTGCTATATGAACGGCTTGGCGTTTCTCAGTCCGCCTGGTCATATAAGTAAATGTACGGCTCTTTTCCAGGGGCCTCCATGTCGTTCGACGCTCTAGTATATCCACGCGATCATCCTCAGCCAGTGCGTCATATCTGCTTGTTAGTAGTTTACGCTTAATAACAATCTCATGTGTATCATCCAAATCTTCCATTTCCTCAATTTCCTCCAGGTCTCTTATTTGACGATTCAGCGCTAAGATGTGAGCACAGATTTTAACTATATATATAGCAACAACTAGACACAAACGCTACTCACAATTCAAGGTAATGCGTACCAAATATACATCGATCACGCATACCGCAAGGCATATTAAATACACGATTGTTAACACGATGCACTCAATAAAATCAACTTTTTCATCCGTGTTAAGCATATAATCGAGTAGTACCAAGCCAAAGATGAAGAAAAGTAGATCCCTCATTGTGCTATATGAGCTCATTTTAAACGGACTGACATAGCAGACCAATCCACCGATAAACATGACCACAAACAATGAATTAGCTAGGCTATTGGCCAAAACGGCAGAATCATCGTTCAATGTCGTTAAACTGCAAAACAAATCTGTCGTTGTATTGCCAAATGCCAATATCGTCACCCCAGCCAGATGTTCGCTCATGTGCAGCATTCGGGAAACGGCTTTCAATGCTGGACTGTAGTAAAAATGCACCACATAGCCGAGGCATAGTAGCAACTCGAAGCATACAATCGATAAAAAGGCAACAAAGATGTGCTCCTCGAATTGGTTTTTGCATTTAAAATCGCATGCCAATAAGTGCATATACGGCACGATATTCGTACCGGTTAGACAGTTGCTGGCTTTTTTCACAAAATCGCATCTCTCACTAAATGGAAAGGACATCACAGCATAACAATTTGCCTTTGCAGTAAAATCGTTAAATTCCTTGTCCAACATATTTGGTTTCTTTATTCCTGCCATGGTTGTCAATTTAGTTCATACACATTGAAGTGTTTAGATTCTAAGCTATTTTTTTTTCTTTTTTTTCGTTTTTTATGTACGTGTTTTAACCGAAATTTTGATTAAGGCTGACCGTTTTACTGACTCAAACTTCATAGAAGTGGCACATTGAAAATTTCTTTCCATTTTTCAATAGTTCTCAACCAGTTTCAAAAAGATTTAGAATAGAGTAGATTTCAAAATATTTCGTTGGGTCCCTGTATATATGCATATATATATGCAGAAGTGCGTTATATTATATCTTTAAGTATTTATCACACATGATAGTTAATTTACTTTTCAAATGAATATCAATATTAACTAGTTACATATTAAGAACAGCATATTCATCGCTCATGTCTACAATGTCAAAAAATGCCTTCCTTTATAAACAGATCGCCGTGCATTAAAATTCAACACAGATGTCCACAGCAACGTTGATAGAAATCCCAGAGTCAACACCAATTACTTTTATATCGTGATTAGCGCCAGATAAAATCTTTCCAAGAACGGCACTGGCAGTGCCCAGAATTATAGAGAAATATGGACCGCCAATGACAGCTGCATATTCCATTTTCTGATAGCCTTGTAATGGCCATGGAAATTGTGGTTACCAAATCAGTGGCACCCATGAAATCGGATGGAACTTTCATTAAGTTACCAAATCACTTCCATAATCAAAGATATTTTAGAGGCACACAGGAACGAGCATCAAAACGCCATTTGGTACATTATAATACCAGAGCTTCAATTTATCTCTGAATACCACGGCCTTGCCCATTGCGATTGTAACAACCGGATTGAGGAAAATTAGTTTGCAATTGAGCAGCTTACTCCGGCCATTCTTCTTCAGCTCATAATCCACCAAAGGTATATAAATGGCATACAGAATCGCAAACGGAGCCCGAGCAATGTAGAAGGCGCGTTTAAAAAATTGGCCTTGCGCCAATCTTCCCTGTGAAGAGGACTGAATTCAAAAAAGAATTTCTCAAAGAGGTAGCGATTCCTTCTTTGGACCAAGACTAAAAGATTGCACTTGGCCTTCAAATTAATCCTTGAATGTGAACTCATGCGTCTAGTCATATAAGTGAAAGTTGGAAAAATGTTCGAATGTGACTTATCTCAAATGGAAAACATTGAGTGTTTTTAAAATCCAAGCTTAAATACTGTATCTAATCCAAAATTAGTAATTACCCGGGTCGTTAAAATAATAATATAACCCATATATAGCCATTACTTACCCAATAACAGACTGAAGTAGACGGAAGTTTTGCTGCAGTATTGCTTATAACCGAAATTCTTATAGAATATACAGAAGACGTGCGGTGCCCAGCATACGATGAAGATTAAGGCGGAAGCAATTAGCATATTGGCCAGATGACGACGCGATCGTAATGTGGACGTCTGAGGCAGAGGTATACCAGGCGTAGCCGGACCGCGGCCCGCACGAAAAATGCGCTGCCGTTGTGAATGAGCACGAATCTCCCGCATTGCCCTGAAAGATTGCATTGTCCTGATTGATTCGCTACATTTAAATTGATTGGGCTTATTGGCTTACCTGGGCGAAATGGGATTGCTGGAGCGATAGGAGCCCGGCTCAAGTGCCGCACTGGAGCCCGGCCGACATGGCTGTAAGTTATGCAATTGTATATCTCCCGGATTGATGGCAATTTGGCCGCCTCCATTGCCATTTCCATTGGATGTGTCATCGACTGTGGTCGCTCCACCGCAGCCTGCCTGCTGAGCATTCGCGCAACCCGTAACTATAACCATGTGGGTCTGACGGCGCAATATCGGCATGGGCAACGGCAGTTCGCCGTGCGCCGCTCGGGCGGTCAGCGACAATGCACAGAGCTTGCGACGTACACCATAATGATTGAGTAGCACACCCACGCCGGGCAGCACAAACACCGCAATTGTATGAAAGATGATAAACGACATGAACATGGCATTGGCTCCCAACTCTGAGGTGCAGCTAATGCTAACTGGGTTTGGCGTTGTGCCCGTTTCGGCGCCCTTGATGATCACCGACTTGGCTATTATCTTATAGGCAAACAAGAATGGCGTGCTGATAGCTGCCGAGGCAATCCACGACAGGATGGCCAGCGAGACGTGCAGATAGCGACGCTGTCGCAACTGGGCCAAGCGCGGATGTTTTACGGTGGCATAACGATCCAGCGAGAGCATGAAGAAGGAAATTGTGCTGGCTGCCACTGGCATGACCTGTGGGTTACATAAAATTGAGAACGAAATAAACCATTTACAAAAAAAAAAAAAACAAAATAAAAAAAATTGGCGTCTTAAAAAATGATCAGTTGTAGTCCTGGGCTTTTAACATTTGGCTGTTAAGCTCAGTTGGTGCTGTTAAAAGACGATATTTCTAATAGTGTTAATCGATTTATTTTCAGTAGAAACGCGGCCATAGAAGTGCGCGAAATCGGACACGAATAGTTTTTAATAAAAAGTGAAGTTTTTACAAAATTTAATCATTTTTAACATTGTTTGTGCTTACCTGAACATAGTGTATAAGTTTGCATAGTAAAAGTGGTAAAGATCTAGTGCCCCGATTCATGGCCAGATTCAGCAGCGTAACTGGCGCTGAAATGCCCGTAACCAGAAGATCGGCAATGCAAACGGCCAGCAGCAAAGGATTTCGTAAACGCACCGATGATGCCGAGCACAGGGTGAGTACCAATGTTGAATTGCCCACAACGCCGCCAAATACAACCAGACCATAGCTAATGGCCAGCAGTAGAATAGTCAATGATGGAATCGCATGCTCAGTATCCGCGCCACTTTCAATATCATAGGGATTGGTCAGCGTAAAGTTGCCATAGCTATCGTAGTCAAAGCTGCTGGCCAATTGACCGCCAAAATTGCCATCAATGCCGCCGCTGTCCCCGCCAAAATGGTTTTGCTCGAGAAGCGCATAGTGCAGCTGTTCAGTGGTATCGCTATAGTTATCGTTATCGATATTGCTATCGACAGTCGGTTGCTGTTGGTGCTGTCGTCGATATGAGTTTTCCCACCATTGCTGCAGGTTGTTGCTATTCATCCTTTAATCAAACTCGTTTATTACTAATACTTGGCGCTGCCGATCGTTGTCGATGCGTTTGTCTGGCTGCCTCATTGCATACTAAAGGTGCTAGGTGCTGGTGCTGCTTGGAGGAACAAAAAATAGGTAGCAAGTAACAAAATGCCATCATCATCAGTCTTTTATACCCATTACTTATTGAGTGCATAGAGTAGATACTATTATTGATAAATTGGTAATGGGAGCACAACGCCTTAAACTAATTTCTGGCTTTTGCATTTATAAACAACATATTTCTAAGAATGAAATTGAAATTTACGCGCCCCTATAAATATACTACATTTTATTGTGACGACAAACACGACGTATGCGTGATAAAAGATTTAATTACATTCGTTTCAACAAGATGAAATAAGAAATAAGCAGTAAAGGGCAAAGGAAAACAAAAATAAAAAATATTGCTTAAAATCGACACCTTTGCTATAAAATCAATAATTTCTTAACTGTTAATTACGAGGTGTAAGCAAGTCGAGCAAATGGTGTTGCATTCATTCTTGTTTTGTTTCAACAAGGACACACAAAGTGACAGCTACATGCGCACATTCACACACATTGGCGCACACACACACACACGCACACATAAACTCTTGTACAAGAGCCTTTGCCTGACACTGACACTTATGCAATGCGAACAGGGCGCACTCAGAGATTAGTGCTGTGCTTCCTTCCGCCGTGCCCCATTTTGCCAAGCCAAAATGAATGGCAACCTTGCACTTTGCGCCCACGACAAACAACCGCAAGGATTGACGTCACCTTCAAACCCATGCCGGCTGCTGTGCGGCAGCCCATCAAGAAAATGTGCGGCTCCGGGGGCGTACTAGAGGCTTAATTGCGCGTTAAAGCACAGCAACAGAAAAGACGCAAGGCGCAAATTTAAATGATGCTGCATGTGCAGGAGCAATAAATGCAAGCTGAGCTATTAAAAACTTTAATTGAAATTGTTATCACAAGCGGGCGAACGACCAAGCGAAGCTCATTAAGCGCGGAAACAAAACATCAGGCGCAAGGGTGACTCAAGATTTGATCACAATGCGCAACACTTGCCATAAAGTAATTGTTTGCTCACGCGGCATGAGTCACCCTCATGTTTTGTTCCAGCAATGATTAAAAGGCACCCACACACACGCGTGTGTGTGCGTGTATGCACAAAAGCTCTGGCAGACAGCGCGCTTTGTTGTCTGCGTGCCTGTGCGCGCGTGTGTGTGTGTGTGTGTGTGTGTGTGGCGTTTGCTTGCGTCAGTTTGTGTGGTTTGGTCTCGCGCTAGTGTGTATCAATTTTTGTTGTTGTTGGCATTTCAGCCGCCGCCATTGTTCAGCGCAATTTGTGCATGTGTGTGCCCGTGTGCCTGTGTGTGTGAGTTTTTGTCAACGTCAATGCTTTTGCTTTCTGCCCATTGTGCGGCTGCTGTGGATGATGTGACTGACGTTTGCTTAATCTGCTTAATTTGCGTTAATTTAATCGCGGCCTGCGTGTGTGAGTGTGTGTGTGTATGTTCACATATTGTCGGTTTCCTTAGGCCAAAAGTCATGTGTAAAGTAATGCGTGTGTGTGTGTGTATGAGTGTGCCCGTGTATTTTTATTCTGCAGCATAATAAAAATAACCTGTTGGCTTAGCTTTTGTCACATTGTTGCAGTTTTTTAAAATCTATTAAACTCTAGGCGTTAAAAATATCTATTCCAATTATCATAAGAATAAGAATCAATAATTTATGGAAAGTAGCTTGAATATAAAAAAAAACCTATAAAAATCAAATAAGTAAAAAATTCCAAATAAAATGAGCAGCCAGTTAAGAGATACCCCTGCAAATAAGAAAGGCAACTTTTTAACGCAGGCGTGTTTGATTTTCTTATTGGAAATTTAAATGTGAATCTATATTAATTTACGTCACTCAAATGTCGGCAGCAGGCATAAAAGGTGACAAAATGCCGTTGCACACCGCCAGCTCCCTGCTGTTTGAATGGACAAAAGTGAAGCCAATAAGATAAAATCCAGGATCCGGGGCGTATACGTAATGCGTGGGATGGAAAGAGATGGCTTCGATTGTTGTTATTGCACCCTAATATGAAAACTGTCAGCCACAGGTGATTTAATAACAAGGCGCAAGGATACACACGCACAAGATACACACAGCACACGCACACACATACAGCACACACAGAACACAGCACACACACACAGCACACACACATATACACAGCGCGCAAGAGAAGCAACTTGATGATGGCGTTTTGTTCGCCCGCTGCTTTTGTCTGTTCTTATTGATTTGACAGCTAACAATTTGTGCGTGTGCGAGCGTGTTGGTGAATGTCCAGGCGTCTTATAGCTACTTCGTGCCTGCCACAATACAAAATGGCAAACAAACAAGTTAGTGTGCGTGTGAGAGCGCTTACCGTTGTCTTTGCCCTTCTTCACTTGAAAGCCAAAAAAAAAAAAAAAAAACAAAAAAGAAACTTTTTCGGGAACGGCAACTTGTGTAAAGTTTAGCGGCGAACAATGAAAAGTGCGTGGGCAGGGCAAAGGCAAAGACGGCACACATACATTAACATAAAGAGAGGGCGACAGAGAGAGAGAGAGAGCGAGACAAAAACTCCTATTGGCCGTGTAAAAAACGACGCTATAATTACGAGCCATAAAAATGCGTGGCGTGGCCAAAGAAGCTGAATAACAATTAGTGTGGAATCAGTAGACGGCAACGCCAACGCACACAAACACTCCCACACACACACACACGCACACACGTGCACACACATATAAGCACAACATACATACATGCACGCGCGTTGCGTATACGTAATAACTTACAGTTTTGTTGTTGCGCGCTTCATGTAAAATGAAAAAAGCTAACGGATTTATTTGCTGTTGTTTTGTGTAGCGACTGTTGTTGTTTACTTTATCGAAGGCACTGTAATTTACAGTTAGTACTATTTTTGTTTTATATATATAAGTATTTAAATATCGTTATTGCAGCGGGCGCGTCTGAGTCGTTGTTGTATTTTTGTTTTGTTTTTTATATATCAAATACACTTTTAGCAAATATTTTTTTACATTTTGTTGTTGTTTGGTTTTTAATGTAGATTTCGTTTATAAAATTGTTTTAAAAAATCTTTGGATGCGTGTGCGTGCTTGCGTGTGTGTGCGTGTTGGTGTGCGTGTCTGTGTGTGTGTGTGTGTTGGGAAAAAAACTAAAATAAAACTCAATGTGCGATGTGCAGAAATTGTTCCTCAATGGCGCACATAACACGAAAGGACTACGGCGGAAGACTGTCCTCTGTGACAGTGAAAATTTTGCTGAAGCCAACCAGCCAGCCAGAGAGCAGAGTTCGGAGTTAAAAGTCGCGAGAGACGCCGACACCGACAGGCGCCGAAATCAGGAAGCTTTTTTGGGTCAGGGAGAAAGCTTTTTGCTTTCTCAAGTGCTTGACTTTCGCTTTCATTTAGTCGCCAGGACCCTGCTGCGCTCTGATTAGGGCTAATACGAGTTTTGGATATACATAGAGATAAAAAGGACAAAAGGGAAGAATAATACTATGACAAAAACGTACAATCAACGCTCGAAAATTGAAATCGAAATTTTGGATTAACTTTTTTTTTTTTTGATACAAAATAGTTTTTGTGTGTTTTTATATCAAATCAAAAAATATATTTTAGAATAACTTTTCGAATTGAAACTCTCTTGTTGGCAAAATAGTTTTCGTAAAAGTTGTTAAATTTTGTGGATTTTTATTTCTAAAATTCAATTAAAACGTGTTCAACCAATCGGTATAAATAAATCAATTTCAGTTTAAATACTAACATGTTTTTTTTCTCTTTATTTAAATATTTTTGTATATATTAATGCATGATGTACTTAAATAGTTGCAACTTGTATTGGATTTCCTTCCGTTGTATACTTCGATTTTGTTTTTGTATATATATTTATTTATGTAACTTATGCGCTTAATTATACATTGTAGTTGTGTTTATTTGTTTTGTTCTTGTTATTGTTGTTGTTGTTGTTCATGATGCTGTCGCAAATGGACAATGCAATACTGTAAATGAAGGTGTCTTATATAACTAAGCAGCATATTTTATAAAATATATATATATATAAATATTAAAATGTATTTTTGTTTGATTGGAATAGAGGTTTTGGACAAATTTTAAGCCTAATTATGGGCGGCAATAAATTAAAGACAGTGAATTATACAAATTAGATCATAAATAGAGAATAAATTACGAAAACTAATTACCAAATTATGAATCGTAATCGTACAGCTGATAAATACACAAACGATATTTGAGATATTTGATTTTTGGATGATGGTTAAGTTCGGAGTAGTAAAGTACTTTAAACTTATAGCATAAAATGTTGATGAGTTAATTGCTTTTGTTTTTGTTGTTGTTTTTTTTTTTTTGTGTTTTGTGTTTTTTCTTTCAGTAAGTAGCAGCAGAGTTTCGTTGATCAGTTCAAGTTTTTTATAGTATCTATGTATATAGAGCAGTATTGTTGTTGGCAGCGGTATACTTAATGTGTGTTTTTTTTTTGTTTTTCATTTTTTAAATATATAAATCATTTCTTTTTGTTTTCTTGCTTTTGGGGGAATGAAGAGCACCCATTTCTCTAATCTTCAATAGTATATTCGGGCATCTTTTCATACTTCTGCTTGGTAGCCTCGTGTGTGGTGTCCACAAGCAATGCTGTATGGGAATAGCCCATGGTAACCTGAGGTATTTTAATGTTGTCCATTTTGGGCACCTCCTTGGGCACCGTCGACGACTTTTGAAACTCGCCAATGCCCAGCTCACCAAAGGTTGGCGATGCGCCCCAGGCAATCAGTGTATCATCAGCCGATATCATGATTGAGGTATTGGCACAGCCAATTGCTGTTATGTTCCAGCCTGTATATGAATATATAGAGAAAGGGCTTTAGTAAGGTTTATCATGGATGCTTAGGTGGACTTGCCTGCTAAATCTTGCACTGGCTTGGGATACATGTTGGCCTCGCCCGTTTTCTTGTTCTGCCCAAAGAGATAGAGCAGGCCCAGCTCGTTGATAATCAAACTGAATGTTGAACCGCAGTAGACACTGCGTCCGCCACGACCCTGGGCATCAAAAAACTTCATAAGACGCGGCACCATCTCATCCTTGGGCTCGGCGTGTCCCAGGCGCCCAAAACCGCCAAAGCCCCAGCTGTAAACGCGCTTTTTGGAGTCGATGGCCACCTGTTTGTTAATTAAGACATAAACGTTTAGTGTGCCGCATCTTTATAAAAATCCTGGCACATACCGTGTGATTGTTGCCACATGCAAAGTCCACAATCTGTACACCATCCACGGGTGTCACGTGTCCCTCCTTGCTCTTCTCAATGTAGAGTACAACCCTTTTCGGTGATGTCTCAAAATGGAATGACAGCTTATTGGCATTCACAAAATACTTGGCATCCGTATTGTGACCCAATTGGCCATATTCCGGCAAACCAAATGTGTGCAAATTGCCCTTGATATCGAGAATAACTGAGAATTCGGCTCCGCATCCAATGCGTATTATAGGCGGTCCACGATAATTAATCGGAGTGGGCGTAAAGATATTGGGATGTGCATTGCCCACGCCGCACTGACCGGACTTGTTCTCGCCGCAGGCGTAAACTGTGCCCGTGTCGGTAAGGAAAAGCGTATGATGACGCCCAGCGGCGGCTTGTACAATGTTCAGCTGTTCCAGTGCAGGAATGATTGTGGGCTTCTCCACCAGCTTGATGTCCTGACTCAAGCCCAACTGACCGCTGGGATTGCGGCCAAAGCCAAGTGCCTTGCGATCCATATTGATGAGTATTGTGTGCGCCGCAGTGGGACCGCTGGCCACGGAGCGGTACTGCAAGTTGGCATAAGGGCAAAATATGAATTTCATTTCATATCAATACACACTTCCAGCAGGACTTACCTTCTCATCCGTGAAGCGATGAAAGCTATACAGATTGGGACGCACTTTTGTGACATTTTTTCGATCCCGTTTGCCGGTTAGATCCCAGGTAACCATACCAGCCAGCAGCAGCTGTCCCGGCGTCCTTTCCAGCGTGGCCAGTAGATCCTCTGGCAGCTTACTGGGTGGATCCAGATTATCATGTGGTATTAGCACCTCCATTTGGCCGGCCGCCTGCTGTTGGGCCAAATCATCGTCGGACTCATCACTAAACTCATCCTCGTAGTCCGATTCCTTCTTCTTTGGGTGACGCTTGTTGGGACCGGCCCCGTTACCACCTGCCTTGCGCTTAGCCGACATCTTTCAATTAGCAGTAATGCGTCTCTATCTCTCTCTCTCTCTCTCTCTATCTTTGTCTCTCTGCGGCTGTAAAGAGACCAGCAAGCGTTGAGAACCAGAACCAGAATTTGTACGCAGCAGAGCGTAGCGGTTGCCGTTAGTGCTGCGTGCGTGACAAGACGCGTACGTGTTTGTAATTGATTTATTATTACAATTGGCTATTTAGGCATTACAACTTTTAAAAATCTAAGCTGCGCTTTTATTAGCTTAACGGTACTCTTTAGTTTGCTCATCAAAAATTATAAAGTTTTAATGAAATTTAATTTAAAGTATTGCAAAATGACTGCCCGTGTCTTGTTGCGAATATTGTGAAGCGCTCATCTCTAATCGTAGCTCTCACGCGCTGTTCGTTCTATGTGTGCGTGCATCGTATGTGTGTGTGTGTGTGTGGTGGTTTTGCAAGCATGGAAAAACAAAATGAACGCCAACAAAGTAAGCCCGATGCGCTGCTAACGCCGACTGCGGTACTTTTGCAATTTCATTGAAAAAGCACACAAATTCGCATTAAATGAAAATATCTGTTTATCCATCTGTCAGCTAATAAGGCGGTAACTAATGTCTGCTATCTCAAACAAATGATTTAATTGAACGGCGGCTTAAAATCAAATTTGAAATGTTGGCGTCACTTTTACAAAACACACAGCGTATACAAAGACAGCGCGACAAGTAGCTAATCAAACATTGCTTGAAAGACGTAATGCTTAGCCACACCGAAACTTAAAGGATCACTAAATTTAAGGCTACATTACGCGCTAATAACTTACATTTCAAGCTTTACAACTAATAACTTTTCGTATACCGTTCCTGTTCCGTACGCAGCAAAAACAACAAAACGCTAACCAGCAATAGGATGAAGTGTGTGCACAGTTCGCAACACAAAAATAACTAAAATCAAAAATACCACATGGAGTGGCTCTATACTTTTTTTTTCGATTCATAAAAATACAACTATCGATATTTTTGTATGTGTCTCTAACGATAGTAGTCGGTAGCCCTAGTAATCGCGGCCCAACAACAAAAGAACATTGTTATTTTTGGAGCGCAAAAAAGTGGTTGGCTTTTAGGCCAGGATATGGATAAAATGGACAACGACGAGACTGAAACCACACATTATTACTTGGAGTGCGAGGTCGGCGCAGAGGAATGGCACTGGAATCTCAAGAGCACCAAGCTGCTGGTCGAACTCTATTCGGAGCGGCGTCACAGATTTCGTGATCCCAAAACCCGCAAACGTGCCCTCTGGACAGAGATTGTGGATGGCATGGAGCGTGCCGGCTTCAAGGGCATCAATGAGGATATCTGTGATCGCAAATGGCGCAACATGAAGAAAACGTATCGAACATGCCGTGAAACGCTCAGAAAAACCGGACGCAAACGCGTTGGCTGGGAATATTATGACACATTCGATGAAATGTTTCATAATGAAAATGCGCCCGCCACCATAAAGCTGGAAGATGATTCATTGCCAGCGGAGCAACAGCAGCAGCAGCAGCATACAGCACTGGCGGATATGTGCAGCGCAACAGTTGACGCACAAGCCCTGGCCACAGACAATGCCAGCGATCTGTCCGTGAGCCAGGAGCAGCAGCGACAGCTGCTAATCCTGGAGCGCAATCGCATCGCTGCCATACGAGAGCTGAGCAAACGGATCGAAGAGTCCAATGCGATACAGCGTGAACGCAACGATCTGCTGCGCGAGTATCTCGCACAGTTATAGCCATAGGATAAATAAACGAATCGGTTAGGCTTCATACAAATTCTTAATGTAATGCGATTGTATTGGCAATAATTGAATAGTTGATAGGTCTTTTCTTGTATATTTAAATATTATGGAAATCGAACATAAATATAATTTTAAAGGTAAATTTCTCGTTTAGCACATGAATTGTATAATTAAAAAGTTAGGCCCAATGCATGATTCGCAATTGCATATTCTAGAATTGTATCAGCGGCTGTTTTCGGCGCTCCCGATACGCCACAATGTCGGGCATGACAACCTGTCGGAATCGTTCGTGATTCCGCTTAAACTCCTCAACGGCTTTGGCCACGCGTCGCTGCTGCTCCAAGCGATCGATCGGCTTGCTATTATTGTTGTTATTGCAGCTGGCTAATACTGTAGATCTGGCCGTAGCCACGGGCAGATCATTGTAGAAGATGCTCGGCGATGCACCTGCTGCTGCCTGACGTCGTTGTGCCCGGGGCGTTGACTGTGGACTCCCGTTTCCATTGCCGTTGCCATTATCTGTAACACGCAACAATTTATAGCCTTTCTTTGGGAATATACAGCAGATTTTTGTCATAAGCTCGCAAAACGGCATTCCGAACGAAAATGCAAAAGTAACTGAGATAAGCTCTGGCTTGCGCCGAACAATTATTTAAAGCACGGTTCTTGCTGGCTGCAACGGTAATGACAAACTGATTGCTTATCTGCACTAAGCGCTACCGCCGCGAGTATATTGACTTTGTGACCACATTTGTAACACACCGTGGAGAGGGGCATCAAAGTGCGCCTGGCTGCCTATTTCTTGGTTTCGGTCCTAAAGTCTTGCTGGCACTTTGCACAGATTCGTGTTTCTGTTGCCGGAACGGATCAAAGGATATATGATTGCCATTTGAATCGGAACAATTTGTTCAAAATTTAGATCTATTTTGAATCAGATTTGTTATTTTACGAAATATATTCTACATGCCTAGGATTGTGTTGGTGGCAAGTTAAGTTAATAAGTTTAAAATAAGTAAATTGTCTTGGGAAGAACAGAAGCCTATCAACATCGAACTAAGATAAAATATGCCTACAATAGACGCAATTTAACATAATTTAGGGTATCTAATCTTCGATATTATGAAGATAACGCGTTCTTTGCTTATTTTCACTTTCGTTCGCGCCGTGTAACGTTGAGCCTGAGGCAAAAACCTTCGGTAAACAGCTGACGAGTGACTCGGCTGATGACGTCATGCGGCTTGGCTTACCTAGAAACTGGAGCTCCTGTTGCGCTTTCGCATTGCTCGAGCCAAAGTAGCCGGGTATAAAAGGCATAGGTGACATGACTACGCCGCCGCGCAGGCCCGCCGCCGCAGACGCATCAGAAGGTGGCAGCGGCGGCGGCGGAGCTGGACGATTAAATGGATTTTGGCGTCTGGGCGGCGGCTTGGGCTTGCCCGGCGCATCCGTCACAGCCTGGGAGGGATCACGGCGATCGTTGTGCATTTCTGCAGCAAAAAAGAGTAATTAAGTTTAACAATTAAAGTCAGCAGGTTTGTTAGTCGCCTCGCTGCGTTACTTACTGTTCCGTGAGTCTTCGATTTCCTGCAGCTGCCGCTGCAGCTCGGCGACAATAATCCGCTTGTACTCGTAGCCGGCGCAGGTTAGGGCCTTCATCCATGACTCCATGCTTTCCTGTGTGTCGGCTGCCAGTATATAGGTGCGATTGCCATTGAACGCTATCTCAAAGCAGTAATTATCCGCATCCGATTCCTGGGATAGTTCTATGGTGCAGCCCTCGACTATGATGAGACCCAGTGGCTCCTTGTCCAGGCGCGTTTCGAAGTAGAAGAGCAGATTGCCTTTTAACACGAAATAGCGTCGTTGAAATGCCTTATTTATTTCGCCTCGCTTGTTAAGAAAACCTGTGCGTATGATTAATAATAGCATATGTGAGATATGTATTTATATATGTATATTTCGTTAATTAACTAACCTTCCATGTCAAACGGCGGCGATCTGGCAAACACACAGAGGTTCTTTTCGTTGATTTTCATTTTGATGCGTTCGGCTCATTAACTAAGAATGTTTGGGCCGTACAAACATTTAAAATGCGCTTTGTTTGCTTTAATTTGGTAATAGGCACAAATGTATTTACATATCTATGTGCGTAGATGCTTACATCAATGCATAAGCGTAGGCAAAACATATGTTTCTGACATCGACCGATGTAGCCACACCAAATTTAGATAAATAAACAATTTTTGTGATTTGACTATCGAGCGTAACTCATCTCTAGTAGAAGTCTTCTTCTTAAGCAGAAATATCAAGTTGAAAACTTCGCTAAGATGTCTTATTTACTTACTGAAATTGCCCTCGAAATGCTGGGCTATAAGTTTTACGATACGAATGGCGTATTTCATTTGATCAACTTTCAACAATCGATGACAGCAGCGCAAACCGATTTGCAGGCGCACCCAGAGGAGCCATCGTTAATGGAGTACATTGAACAGCAATCGGACCCTGAAACCGACAAGAACGGGCATGACCAGCCACAGCCACCAACTGTTCCCTCAACGATTAGTCTGCGCGGCACACCTGTCCGTGCGCTGGCCAAAATGATGGAGTACGAGAGCGACAAATTGCAGAATGGACAGGAACAGCAGCAGAAACAGCAGCAGCAGTCAAACCGTTTGAATAGTCCAGCTGAACCTGAATCGTCAATTGTGCTACCAAAAACGTCAAACAGTTTACGTCGTACGCCGGCCAGGGCACTGACTAAAATCATGGACTATGAGAACTTTAATATACGCAATCAAATAATACGGCGTATGGAAAAAGTGCTCAAGAAGGAAGCGCACATTCCAAATGAAGTGGCGCTGCAGGATTGCCTCAATGCAGAGTTGACGAAAATAGTCAAGGATGCTGATGATATGCATGAGTTTCGAAAATTTTTGGAGGAGCGCCTTAGACGCATTGACTCGCGTCCTTATGAGACTTACATGCGAACGTTTGGTGTAGAATAGGTTCACGTTAAATCGGTAAAGTTAGTGTTTATGTTAAGGGTTATATCATTAAAACGTAAAAATAGAAAGTATAGTCCAATTGAAGAAAGTCCTCTGCTCCTTGTTTACGAATTGCAATTTAGGGTAGCATAATTTATGCTGCTTTTGAAATGCCAGGTGCGAGTGTTGTTCGTTTTCAGTGTTGCCCCTCGTCCAACGATGTCGATACACTTCGATGTTGGTTTTCGTTTTAAGAGTGGCCACACATTTAATTATTTGACTATCGATAGCCCAAGCCCGAACAGAGGCATCGATAGCAGTCGGTCACATTACTCGCAGAACACCTGAGTAAAGGTCGGTCCACTGAACTTGTCACAAAAATATATAAAACTTTTTCTCAAAATTCTTTTTGTAAAACGTGCCTAAACACATACATTTTTTTATATTTTATTCTGCCCTGTTGCCTCGGCGAATAACAGGCAGTCCAGTGTCGCGACCCGATTGCGAAACAACGAGAGAGAGAAATATAAATATCATTTCACACTCACGAACGGTGACGAAAACGCCAACGACGCTTGCATAATGAAAATCTGGACGTCCGAGCATGTCTTCAACCATCCGTGGGAGACGGTTACACAGGCGGCATGGCGCAAATATCCAAATCCCATGACACCCTCAATCATTGGCACCGATGTGGTTGAGCGCAGAGTAGTTAACGGTGTGCTACACACACATCGATTGGTTCAATCCAAATGGTATTTTCCGAAGTGGACGCACGCGTTAATTGGCACCGCCAAGACGTGCTTTGCCAGCGAACGCTCCACAGTGGATCCTCAGCGCAAGCAGATGGTCTTAAAGACAAACAATTTAACATTTTGCCGTAACATAAGTGTCGACGAGGTGCTCTACTATGAGCCGCATCCCACTGATTCGAGCAAGACCCTGCTCAAGCAGGAGGCGACAGTAACTGTCTATGGTGTCCCACTATCACACTATATGGAAGATTTACTGACCTCCACAATCAGTTCGAATGCGGGCAAGGGCCGTCAAGGCCTCGAATGGGTAATTGGCCTCATCAATACGGAAGTGAAGAGCATCGCCGATTCGGCTGCACGCGGCACAGACGAACTAATACACAGTACGCGGCGATCCATCGACGAGGTCACAGAGAGTGCGCGAAAGAGTATGGACGAGATTGGTGCCCAGGCAGCCAAGGCGGCGAAAGCAATGCACATAACATAGATGTATATGGAAAGGCGGTCATCTCCATGCGTATGTGGGGACTGTTGGGCGTAGTGAATAGGAATTTACCGTAGTAGGCGCAACGTCGGGTACGCTGCTTTGTAGTACAGCAACAGCAACAACAACAACAACAACAACAATAACAATAACAAATAAACGGAACATAGATACATTAACAACAACAACAACAACAAAGCAGCAAACGAACAATAAGAATATTCAATTACAATATTTTCTCCTTGCAAAATGGCAAGCGAAATATTTTATTCGTCTGCTTTAATATATTTTTTGTAAAGCAATTAGAAAAGAAAAAGCAAATTGAAAAAATCGAAAAAAAAAGAAGGAAATGTGGAACTTTTCCCATGGTTATCAGTCAAGTGCGCGTTGGTTTTTTTTTTTGTTTTTTTTTTTGTTTAGATTGGGCCAATGTACAAAGCCGATAAGGCAGGCAGCCAGGCAATGACAAGATCCGCGCAACAACACCAACATCAGCATAGTAGCAAATTTATTTATTTAAAAATAAATATATATATACATATATAGTTTGTAATATGCAGAAAATTTTAAGAAACCAAAATCGAAAAAAAAACCACATAAATCGAGCACTAAATAAATGTCAACAAAACGCTCAAGAAAAATACATATTCAAGTACAAACGCTTTTCATTATTGGAATATAAATATGTTATATATGCTTGCATATATTGCTGATTTGGCTGCCAACTATCAACGCTGATGACCGCTAAATTGATCGGAATACATGCGCATACATACATACATACATCAAATGAAATCAAGATAAGCCAAATGTGCAGCTGTGTGAGTGCACACGTTTTTTTGTTTCGGAAAGCTTTTTGTGATGTTGCTGCATGTGATTCCGCAGCAGTTGCTATACGAGTCCGACGGCAATGCGTCACAAAACAACAACACAAATGCACAGCTAAAAGCTCTTCTCTTGTTGCTTTATACCCTGCACAGTGATGAGCGCGTGACATACAATTAAACATAGGCAGTTTGTTGAATAATATATTTGTAAAAAAAAAAAATATGTATATTATATATATATGAATATCTGCCAAATAATTACATTGTGCAAAAGGCATTCAATTGCCAAAATAAAATCAATTAATCATGGCATTAAATACTAAACAAAAAAAAAAAGAAGAAAATTGTCGCTGGTTCATGGTTCAAACCAAGTTCAGTTCGTCAACCAGGTTTTAAGATCCGTTGAATGAGGTTCCAGTTCCAATTTTATATAAAAATAGTTTTGCTGATTATTTCATATATTTGTACCTATGGAAATTTGTAATATTCACTGTAATTAACGAAAATAAAGTCATCGCTATGAAAGCTATATAAAATCTAGGCTAACAGCTTATGTGCCTGCTATGCTAGTTACAGCTATCTATATAAATCATCTATTTTGTGTTTATTTTGATTAGTATTAGTATCAGTATTAAAAATGCGGGTCTTATTGAAAGGTGATCTTTTGTCGGAAAATAAAATAGTTACCTAGAAAATGTTTTAAAATGTTATATTAACCCTTTGGATCATGTATACCCTTTATGCCATTACTACTCAAACACAGGACAACCAAAAGCTTTAAACAGCTGTTGTGAACTTCTCAGCCCCAGTTGGCAATTTGACGCTTATAAAACGTGCGCATTGTGCTTAGGCTCTCTCCCTCTTGCTCGCTCTCTTTAAGTCCCAGTGTTCTTTGCGCTGTTCATTTGCACGTGCACGTGCGCGTCGCTTATTGTATTCCAATTTGGGTTAGTTAATTTATAATCTACTAGCATTTGTATATTATTAGCAATAACTGGTCGTGTTTGTGCTGGCAAAAAAATATGTTTACGCTTTTGCTGTTTATCAGCGCGTTCCAGTCACAATAACAAAAACAAGCAACAAATTGTGACGCCAATGCAACGACTGCAATTGCAATTGGGCGTCTGCTGTAACTTGAAGCGCTGATCTGTGGTTGATAACCCCCTGCCAGGGTGCTCGTAGGCAGCTACCGCTCCGGTTGTCAACGGCTTTGACAGCTTCACCAGATTCCAGTGCTCGAGCCAGAGCTCAGTCTGGCTGAGAAGCGTCTAAGGAACGCACGTATAAAAATTGGACTTAACAAACAAAAAAAAAAACAACAAAAGTAAGAATTATGCAATTGGCATTAGGCATAAAAACAGCTGAAACACGAGTAGGCAAGAACCTTTGTAAAGTGGGCGTGGAAGCAATATTTCGTGTCAAAACGTGTGTTTAAAACCTTTCAAACTGTGCTATTTGTTATTGTATGCGTGTGTATGTATGTCGATTTGTTCAGGCGACAGTTACATATGTACATATATTTTGTACATACATATATTTTTATCCGATTAACTTAATTTTAACACTCCATCAATATAATGAAGTGGAGCGAAGGGATTTAAATAAAGACCAATGTTCAAGTGGCTGCACTAGCACGGATAATCGCACTGGCAGAGCGCCTTTATCCAAAAAGTGTACACTAGCTGAGCGTGAGAAATAATTCATTTATCCGCTGCTGACACGCCACTGGTGCTAATGCTTTTGATCCCGTTACCTGCGCGCTGCAGTTGGTGCCAGTGTGCATGTGGGATGCCACATTTCTCTGTCTTTATCTATACAGCCGAGAGCGCTATTGTGTGAGCAAAAGGCATTGTGGATAATGTGCGCAGAGAAATGTTAGTGTATTAGTGCAAATGCAGGCTTAGCACAGACTTGTGCTTGATGAGAGGATTTAGTCTGTGCGCGTTTATCTTCATGATCGGTCGTGTCCTCCGCGCGTGGGTGTAAAATCGTTTTTAAATAAAGTAAATGTTATTAACCGGCGTCGCGCTTTGTTTATGCCGCGTGTGTATGTTTTACTACTATTATTAGCCATCCCCTCGCTCTGCATCCGTTAAGGTATATTAACCAATTTGAAGAATTTCATTCAATATTTTGTGTAGAGCTTTTTCACATTTGCTACCTGAATAGAGAGTGGGAGTGTATGTGCAAGTGTGTGTGTGTGCTGAGAAGCTTTTATTTAAAAACAGCTGCAGTTAAGAAAACTGCAGTTAGATTTTTTTAGCATGCGATCAATTTAAAGCTCATTTTAAAGACTTATGTGATGTGCTTTTCCGATTGCCGAAAAGCCTACAGTGAAAACTCTGTAAATGGAACAATCTATAGAACTATCAAATAAGTTATATTTGAGATTTATTTTTTTTTATTTATTTATAATTTATTTTCTTAAACGAAAGTAATAAGTTTTCAAAGAATAATTTATTTATTAATTATTAACCTAAAAAGGATGAGCTTATATTTATGTGAATTGACTTCTAAGCGGACATTTTTCTTAGTAGAATTAATTTATATAATTTCTCAATTTTTACCAGCTAATCGATAATGGGAATTCTGCGACTTTACGATGTGGCCGCCTTCGATAGTGCCGAGGATAAGCGCGTACTGCAGCGCTTGCAGACGCTCGACCCGGAGCTGATCTCGGTGCGCATGGAGCGCTGTTATCACTTGGAGTACGACCATGAGATGTGCAGATTTCCGCTTGCGCTGGAGCATCTGTTGAGGTGGCTGGTGAGGCAGCCGCTCCAAAGGATATGCAGTCTTAACGAGCAGACGAGACTGGAGTTAAACGATGCGGAGCTTGAAATGCTCGTGGAGATTGGACCACGTTTCAACTTCTCCACACCCTACTCGACCAATTGTGTGAATATATTTCAGAATTTGGGCTATACTGAGGTGCGACGCATGGAGAGCTCTATCCGTTATCTGTTGACCTTTGGCCGGGCAGCGACCCGTGAGGTCGCCAGCTTTGTGGCGCTGCTCGGCGATCGGATGACCCACTGCCAGTATACGGCAGCGAATATGCCGCGCGAGAGTTTCGATGAGCAGCTGCCGGCACAGCTGGCTGCCTGGCATTATGTGCCAATGATGGCGCAAGGGCGCGCCGCTCTGGAGGAGATTAATCGAGAGTTGGGCCTGGCCTTTAGCGACTACGACTTGGACTTCTATTACAAGCTATTTTCGCAGACACTGAAACGTGATCCCACCACAGTGGAGCTGTTCGATTGCGCCCAGAGCAATAGCGAGCACTCCAGACATTGGTTCTTCCGTGGCCGCATGGTGTACGAGGGCCAGGAGCTGCCCAGCACGCTGATTGACCTAATTATGGACACGCAGCGGAACACGAATCCGAACAATACCATCAAATTCAGCGATAATAGCAGCGCCATTGTCGGCTTTGAGCATGATGCACTGCAGCCGCGTGAAATCGGTGCGCCCGGCATTGTGGAATTGCGCAGTGTCCGATCGGATTTGATATTCACAGCCGAAACGCATAATATGCCCACAGCCGTGGCGCCTTTTAGTGGTGCCACCACCGGCACCGGCGGCCGTTTGCGTGATGTGCAGGGCGTGGGTCGTGGTGGCCTGCCCATAGCTGGCACCGCCGGCTACTGCGTGGGTGCCCTTCATATACCCGGCTACAGTCAGCCGTATGAGCCGGTGGGCCTCAAGTATCCCGGCTCCTTTGCACCGCCGCTGCAGGTGCTCATCGAGGCCAGCGATGGCGCCTCCGATTATGGCAACAAGTTTGGGGAGCCACTCATATCCGGTTTTACCATATCGTATGGCTTGTACAATGCCGGCCAGCCCAACACCAAGACGCGTGAGGAGTATGTGAAGCCGATTATGTTCAGCGGCGGCCTGGGCACCATGCCCGCTGCCATGCGCCAGAAGGTAACGCCCAAACGTGGCCAGCTGCTGGCCAAGATTGGCGGTCCGGTTTATCGCATTGGCGTTGGTGGCGGCGCTGCCAGCTCCGTGGAGGTGCAAGGCTCCGGAGATGCTGAGCTCGATTTCAATGCCGTGCAACGTGGCGATCCGGAAATGGAGAATAAACTGAATCGTGTAGTGCGCGCCTGCATCGAACTTGGCGCACTTAATCCCATCTTGGCCATACACGATCAGGGCGCTGGCGGCAACGGTAATGTGCTGAAGGAACTGGTTGAGCCAGATTTTGCAGGCGCCATCATCTTCTCGGAGGAATTCAAACTGGGTGATCCGACCATTACAGCTTTGGAGCTGTGGGGCGCCGAATATCAGGAGAATAATGCGATTCTTTGCAAGCCGCAGGATCGTGAATTGCTCGAAAAGATTTGCGCCCGGGAACGTTGTCCCATAAGCTTTGTGGGCGTGGTCACCGGCGATGGCCGGGTCACATTGGTGGAACACGCCGCACCCAACGACATGGAGCAGGCATTGCTGCCCGAGGCGCGTAAAAGCTACGGCGCCGCGCCATTCGATCTGGAACTATCGCATGTCCTGGGTGACATGCCCAAGCGCACCTATGAGCTGAAATCCGTAATGAATCCATGCAAACCGCTCCAGCTACCCACCGATATACAGCTAACGGATGCACTGGAGCGTGTGCTGAGCATTGTTGCGGTGGGCAGCAAACGCTTCCTCACCAACAAGGTGGATCGCTGTGTGGGCGGCCTGATAGCCCAGCAGCAGTGTGTGGGTCCACTGCAGGCACCGCTGTCCGATTACGCGCTGACCACCGTCTCTCATTTCAGCACAGCCGGCATTGCCACCTCCATTGGCACACAGCCCATAATGGGGCTGATCAGTCCTCAGAATATGGCGCACATGTGCGTCGCTGAGGCGCTCAGTAATCTTGTCTTTGTCAAGATCACCGAAATGGCGGACATCAAGTGCTCCGGCAATTGGATGTGGGCAGCCAAATTGCAAGGCGAGGGTTACAAAATGTACCAGGCTTGTTTGTCGCTCAGCAAGGTGCTTCAGGAGCTGCGCATTGGTATCGATGGCGGCAAGGACTCCCTCTCCATGGCCGCCAAAGTGGATGGTGAAGTGATCAAATCACCCGGCACACTCGTCCTCTCCACCTATGCACCCTGTCCGGATGTGCGCGTACGCGTTACGCCCGATCTCAAGGGTCCGGCGCGGGGTAAAGCCAGCGCCTTGCTTTGGATTAACATTGAGCGCAGTGCACGGCTGGGCGGCTCAGCGCTGGCGCAAGCCTACGCCCAGCAGGGCGAAACCACACCCAACATGCAACAGACCCAAGTGCTGACCCAGGCGTTTGAGCTCACCCAAAGCCTGTTGGGCGAGCGACTGCTGCTCGCCGGGCACGATGTTAGCGATGGCGGTTTAATTGTCTGCCTGCTGGAAATGGCCATTGGTGGTCTGAGTGGCCTGCAGCTGGACATCCAGGAGGCAGCGGCTGGCATTACCGATTACGATGCTGTCAGTGGCACAATTGGCGTGAACATGTGCCTGTTATTTAGCGAGGAGTGCGGCTGGGTGCTGGAGGTGGATGCAGACCAGCTGGAGTCAGTGCGTGCTCGCTTCCAGGCTGCGAATGTGCCCAATTATTATCTCGGCCAGACACATGGCTTTGGCTTGGACACGGCACAGGTGCTGATTAAAAATGGCGACAACACTTTGCTCTCCGAACCACTGCTTCAGCTTTACAAGCAATGGGAGCGCACCAGCTACGAGCTGGAGAAGCTGCAAGCGGACGTTGAGTGCGCACAATCCGAATACGATAGCCTCAACTATCGCCAGGCGCCGCAATATAAGGCGCCCGCCCAATTACAATCAGAGCTCACGCTCAAGCGCTGCGTTCAGACCGTGCGTGTGGCTGTGCTGCGCGAGGAGGGCGTCAACAGCGAGCGGGAGATGATGGCCAGTCTGCTGCGTGCCAATTTTGAGGTGCACGATGTGACCATGTCCGATCTGCTGGCAGGTGAGTCGCCAAAGAATCCGTTTTCCAACATTAAAATATTCAAACTGAATACGTTTCCCTTTACAGGCACCACAAATCTGTCGCAGTATCGTGGTCTGGTCTTTCCGGGCGGCTTTAGCTATGCGGATACCTTGGGCTCCGCCAAGGGCTGGGCGGCAAACATATTGCACAACGCGCTGCTCAAGCCGCAATTTGAGGCATTTAAAATGCGCGAGGATAGCTTCTCGCTGGGCATCTGCAACGGCTGCCAGCTGATGACATTGATTGGCTACGTGGGCAGCATAAAGGCCACGGACAAGACGCCTGTTTTGCCCGCATTGGCACTGCTTCATAATCGCTCGAAGCGTTTTGAATGTCGCTGGTCGACGGTCCGTATACCGCCGAGTCGCGCAATAATGCTGAGCAACATGCACGATCTGGTTCTGGGCTGTTGGGTGGCCCATGGCGAGGGACGTTTTGCGTTCCAGCGCGAGGAGCTGTTGAACCAGCTGCACGACGAGCAGCTTGTAACGCTGCAGTATGTCGATGATAAGGGTGCGCCCACTGAATTGTATCCCATGAATCCCAATGGCAGCCCCAAGGGCATTGCTGGCATCTGTTCGCCGGATGGCCGACATTTGGCGCTGATGCCGCATCCGGAACGCTGCAGCGCCATGTATCAGTGGCCATATGTGCCGCCGGGCTTTGATGTGCCCGCCACGCAAGTGGAGAGTCCCTGGCAGCTTATGTTCAACAATGCCTACAAATGGTGTGCATCGCAGGAGTAATAGCATTTGACAAATGTCTTTTCATTCCAATTAAACACTTGCTCCCAGTAGCCTTGCCACATATATTCCACGCGATTTCAAATAGAAAAATATAAGGAATCCTATTCCTATGATTCGCATTAATTATATTTACATAATTTACCTTTCGCGATTTAAAACAAAATATAAGGAGTCAATTAGGGTTTACATTCCTACTCCATTTGCAATCCCTAAATTGCCATTCCTATTTCTTACTTTTGACTTATATTCTACGCGATTTTAAACATAACAAAAATATCTGTTTTAATTAGAGCGTTTATTAAGCTAAAGTTATTGTCATATCTATAATTCACATCTATTCATATTTCATTCACTTTTCACTCATATTTCATAGAATTTGGAATTAATTACAATTAATTTTCCACTCATACATTCACACTTTTTAAGACTCATCGCTATTTTAATTTCCACTTGTTTCAAATATAAAAACTTCTCTTAAATCGCAAACTATGTTTCAAAGTCAAGCTTTATGTGACTAGAAGTAGATATAGATAAATATATACACAAGTCATTTGCTAATTACGACAAAAACATAAAGAACAACATCACAAGCTAACTAATTTAAACGTAAGCCCTAATTGAATTAAACTGTTTTTAACAATTATTAATCTAACGTGAAATTTGCAGCAGGCATTTCAAATAGTTGGCCTTGGCGCCCGGCGCCATCATGTACTTGGAGTTCCAGTCATGTTCGTTAATATGCAACACCTTATAGCCCATCATTTCCAGATGCTTGATCTTCAGCGATTCGGGACCACGCAACGCAGTCAGATCGTTCTCACAGAATGAGTCCAGCTTGAGCAGCAGAATCGCCACCCTGGTAAGAAATTAAATATTTCATATTAGTTTAACTTAGATATAGAAATATCAACGGATATGCCCCGGCCATGCAAGGGAAAAAAGTCTAACGTATTCTCGCAAAGATCTCTAAAATTAATTTGAGCACCAATCGTTACTCTTTTAATTATTGACACCTCACTCTGGTGGGTGGATTTCCCGCCAAGTGCGAAACGCCTCTCAAATTGAATTTGATATTTGAAGAGCTGTACACAAGCTTTGATTCTTCCACACTTGTGGGAAAGAAACCTCGCCTTACTTGGTTATGCGGTCCAACATGGTGGCCTCCATTGGCGGCGCTGGTATAAGCTTCTTATCCTTGTCGAAATGTATCACGAAATCAATTTGATAGCCATAGGGCGTTGTGTGATTGCAGCGAAAATAGTTCTCATCCTTGAGCAAATCCTGCAGCAGATGTTTGACATCCGCACTAAAAGCGCTGGGCACAAGCGGTTCTAAAAGAGAGACGCTTCGGTTATGCTGGGTCAACTAGGATTTTCTTAATACCCACTCTTGCTGAGCTGCGCCTCGACGTAGTTTTGCTGAAACCAGGGCACATTTGTCTCGGGCAGATCCAGGCAAACGGTGCGATTCAGTTGCATCACGCGATTGAGCACCAGCCCCGGATAGGTCGCCTTTGAGTAACAGATTTGTATCTCATCCTCGATGCGCTGTATGAACTTGACGCAGAACACTCGATTGACCAGCTGCTCCGGAATGGTCTTATAGAAGCACAGCGCCAGGCACGACTGCACCAAGGACAAACCGCTCATGTGATCAAAATCTCTGCGAAATTGAGGAGAGCGAGAGAAGGCTTATTAGCATGGATAGTCGCTCGACTATTAGTCAAATTAATTATTTATCCGATCGTTATGAAATTATCAAGTTTTTTTTAAAGATGGTATTCAAGTTGGGATCTATACCCAATTTCAAAGTAAAGCCTTTTGAATGTACTCCATTTTTGAAGAAGTGGAAAAAGATAGTCAAAAGAGAAATAATCGAGACGCACCGTAGTAGCACCAAAGCAGCATAGTCCAATGCCTCCAGTGAGGCAGGTGTGTAGCCCAGATTGTAGGCACAGGTGAGCACCTTCTCGACGGTGTCGCCTGTGATGTGCTCATGCTGCTGGGCGATATAGTCAAACATGGATTCCAACAGGCCGGCCACAAAAAAGTGCGAAGCATTAAAATTATATGCCATTTCTCGCAACACACGCGAATTGAGATCGTTGCACTGAAGGGTTTTATAATGCAACAGCGCCTGGTTATACACCTGGGTGTTTTTTAGCGCTGTAAAGGATTAAGCTACGATAAGGAGCAGGCGTTGTCAAGTTTATGGAAGGACTCACTTTTCCGATGACTTAGTGTGCGCACCAAAACGCTCAGATCGCTGGCATTTAGCGGCTGCTGTTCGCTGTTGCCTAAATGCCGTTCGGCACAGGCAATCAGAATGCTATCCATGGTGGACAGCTGCATGGCCAGCAGATGTGGTACATGCTGGCGGAAACGCAGCTCGCAGGCGATCTGCATGCCGCGACCGAGTAGAAAACAATCCTGTATATCAAATTGTGGCGCCATGGCGAGCATTTTGCTCAGCAGCAGATTTGGGAACTTCTTCCAGCCAAACGGTGTCTGGCCATAGGCCAAGACAAAGGAAGCCAGACGTGCGAATTGCGCTGGCAATCTGCCCGCCACATCCCGTTCAATGGCATCAAGGCACATGCGACTGAGCGTGCGCTCCACGCCCTGATGGCGATACGTGCCGCCAAGATTATTGTTGAAGTTCATGTAGCGCTGACAATGGCGCAAAAAACGCAAATGCCGCTGCTCCTGGGGATCATTTGACAGCACACCAACCACCGCTGACCAGTACGCATCACAGATCCGCACATCGGCTATCTTCAGGGCGCGCAGCACACTGAAGAAATGCCCGCTTGCATTGGGCAGCTGCCAGGCGGCTTTGGAGTGCAACAGCTGACGGAACTGCTGTATGTAGGCATCGCGTTGCTGCAGCGAGGCAAATGGCACCGCACAGGACAGGGCATCTGGCGTGGGCTCCTGCTGCAGCAGTCGCTCTGTGGCCATTTTCAGTGGCTGCATCAGTGCCACCGGCTCCTGATGATGCAGAAAGGTGCGACAAACGCTCTTCAGATCGCTGGGCTCCAGCGTTGGCAGGCAGCTGCGCAACCCCAACAATAGCTGGCGTATCAGAGCCGTATTTAGATGCGACCACCTGGGCATATTGAGCATGTGCAGCAGCTTGAGCAACGCCTTGGGCGTGTCACTGCCTAACGTGCCACATTGCAGCAGCTCCTGGACGCGTTGCTTAAATGCCGCCAGCAGTTCGGCATCAATTAGCGGATGCAGCTGGAAGAGGCAGGTGGATAACAGACGCACATCCTGCTCGCTGTGGCAATTGGCCACATGCCGCTCCAGATGCGGCATAAAGTTGCGACAGACCAGCGGCGTAAAGAAGTCACGTTCCAAATTGATGGCCACCAGTAGGCGAGAAAGTGCGGGCAGCGGCACCAGCCTCAGCTGCTGACCCTCAGTTGCTAGCTCAATGATATTTAGGGCACGCAGCAGAATCCGTTCCAGCGTGTCATCGCTATTGGGCACGTGCATTTTGCGCAGATACAAATAGCAGCAGCTCAGGTCGTTCACATCCAAGGCGGCTACTAGCTGGGGCGTCAGGGTCTTCGGCACACGTTGCTGCAGTTGGGCTGTCAGCGCTTCCTTCTCGCTGGCCGCCAGACGCTGAAAATGTGGCCAGAGCAGCGATATGCACTGCACCTGATGCGTAGACGGCAGCTGGCCCGGCGCACACAAATCCAAGAGCTCCTGTGGACTACGTGCTGCGATCAAGCGCAAACTGAGTGCATCCTTCTGCAGGCTAATTGATTCGCAACCATCCTCCAGCTCCTCCAAGCTGCTGAGCACCTGTTGCTGTTCCACTGTGCCTTGGATATCGGTGCTAGACGCACGTCGCCTGCTGTAATTGTGAGAAATTGGAAGCGGCAGCAGCAGCTGCCCAGTTGCCAACCTCGGCTCGCACAGCCAGGAGGCGTCTCGAATGGGCGGCTTGGCGCCATTGTTTACATGCCGGCACAACAGTTGCAGTTGCCGCATTTGCAGCAAATATTGTAGACACTTGCATGGCGCACGCGGCAGGTAGTTTAAATACATTGCAAAAATTGCAACTTTTATACAGAAAAAATGTGTTAAATAATAAACAAATTGCGACTTGTGAAATGTGAGCAATGCGACCAACAGCCGTTATGGGTGCTGCCAACGTGTGCGGCAAGCAGCTGTATGTTAATCTGCTGCAGCCCTGTTAACAGCCCTGCAACAGCTGTTTGTGCCAAAACGAGTTAATAGAAACAAGTTCAAATGAACGTACGCAAGCGAACAAATGAAATGAACCCAAAATTCGCAATGTTCATTGGCTCAGCTGAGTGAGCAGTGAGTGTTAACAAAACAGACACTTCACACTAACATGTAAATATAATGTTAACTCACTGTTAAGTCTTCAAAAAATGTTAATTTAAGTATTATGTGCAAATACGGTGTATGCAAATATGACGTATGAATGAGATGTGCAAAAAAAGAGTTCAAAGCTAGGAACTTGTTCACAGGCTCAGTTCACTCATGAGCTTTTGGTTTTTTTAACAACTTTCTTTACGGGTACCCCTAATGCTTGAAATCAAAACAAAAAACAACTCGATTGGCAACATTTAATGAAAGTAAATTGAAATAATGTCGCAAAATCAGGTGATTGTGCTGCAGGCAGGCTACTCGCACAAGGATGCAAATGAGCCGAATGCAATGCGCGCCAACTGCAGCTGCACGCTGATACGCTGTCGCGATGGCACCAACATCATTGTGGACACCCTAACCGCCTGGGATGGCGACCAATTGAAATCCTTGCTAGCTGCGCAGGGCTTGCACCCGGCCGATATAAATGTGGTCGTGTGCACACATGGACACTCGGATCACATTGGCTGCAATTATCTGTTCCAGGAGGCGCGTCTGCATATTGTCGGCTCGTGTGCATCCAATCGTGATCTATACTTTGAGCATGCCGGCCCACTGGATGCACATGGCGAGGTGCTGGTCGAGGAGACGCCTGGACACACGCTGAGCTGTGTCTCGGTCATCGTGCACAATACACAGTTGAGCGGCACGGTGGGCGTTTGTGGGGATCTGTTCGAGCGGCGCGAGGACATAGACGATGCACAGATTTGGAAGGCTGCGGGCAGCGAGGACGAGAAGCGGCAGGCTCAAGAGCGGCATCGTCTGGCGGAATTGTGTGAGCACATTGTGCCCGGACACGGGCAAATGTTTGCCCTAAACGCCGAACTGCGTAAAAAACTGAGAACTTGTATAGAAACAACGTAGCACATGGCAGTTGCTGAACGCTTCCAGGGGATTGGGTTTAGCAAGCTGTGATATTAACATTATATAACGACTGATTTTTTTTTTTTTTTGTATTTTATAGGCGCTTGTATGTTTAATTCAAATTTCGTCTTGCACTCGTTTCGTTACAAGTTTTTTTGGTCTCAAATTTTAACCGTTTAAGCGAAGCTATGTTTCATAAATCAATAAAGATATTGCCTATTTAAATGCGATACTGTTAGAAAAAGGTTTGGCTACTGCTTCAAAATTTCTCGTCAATTGCAGCAACAAGAGTTGGCTGCATAAAAATCGAAAAAAAAACTGTCAAATCTGAAACATAGCATCAGACGCCTACAGCTCGAGATAGGAAGAACAATTAACGAAGCAAGCCCATCCTATAGGCAGCCGGTTTCAGTTTCCCATGCGCATTTAAAATAACAAAAATCAATCCAAACAAAACGACAACAACAACAACAACAGGAACAACAACAACATCATGAGTCAGGCGTCCTCGAGTGCATTCAATACACACCGTAATCGGTATTATAATCCTGTCTCTAGGATACAGTCGTTGATACAAAATCTGGATGCGGAATTGATAACCCTATGCAAACAATGTTCGCTGCCAAAGAATATCGCCAGCAATAGTCAAAATGGTCTCATATCACAGCAATCGGGCAGCCAGCATCATCAGACGAGCGTTAATAATTTATTGGCCCAGGCGCGCTCCACGACCCAATCGACGGCAACGGCCGGCTTGGCGCCGGATGCGCATAGGCGTCAATTGCGTAATACATATCGAACGCGTGTGATCGATGCGTATCGCAATCGTCGCATATTTACCGTTTATGGCAACTATCATACGGTTAGGCGAGCGCTTGTCCGCCGCGGCTGGCTAGAGAAATTGCCGGCTAATCGGCATGCCAAGCTGCAGGCCATGTCAGAGGATTCACTGCTGGAGCATGCAAGACGTGGCAATGATTATGAAGCAGTTGTCATATCAAAAATGATCAACAATTTTCCATCGTTCTTCATTTGGCAGAGTAAGGCACAGAGGGACCTATTCCCCGAGGTGAAGCCATATCGTAATCGGGTGAGACGCAGTCAATTGCTTGACTTCTCCACCAAGGTGGGTCTGGTCGGTTGCGCCGAACAGGAGCGCTGGTTTCGTGAGGACGGCGTGTGCGGCATGAGCTATCCACGTTTCTATCGATTGGGCGCCAATAGCATGGAGGAGCGTGCGGCATTCATTGAGGATTTCCATCAAACACAGGCGCGCTCTTTGCTACGCTACCTTAAGGAGCACCGTCCAGCCGACATGATCGACCCTGAACATGGTGCCGTGCTGAGCATTACGATTGACTTTGCCCTGAATAAGGTGAAGAACATGATCAGACAGAAGGAGCATTATTCTCTAGATGATGCGCGCATTAAATTGCCCACGCCCACTGAAATGATCGAGAATCAATCGTTCATGGTTCAGTCGACCAAGGTGCTCCACACGCATGCCAAGTTCAAGGTCAACGAGAAGGTGATGGCGGAGTATGCGCGCCTCGCCGCTCAATATCTCGATCAGATCGAGTCGCTCCGTCAGGATTATTGCTGGGATGGCTGTCGCAATTTGTGGATACTGAAGCCAGGCTATCAATCGCGTGGCATTGGGATCGTTATACGTAGCTCCCTGGATGAGATACTGCAATGGACATCTAACAATCAGAACCGCAAATACATTGTTCAAAAGTATATTGGTGAGTTCTATGGGATTTGCCATTTAACGGAAAAGGATACATATATGCATATTTGTATATGCTTTTGATCGCAGAGCTCTTAATGCTCTCAGATCAATAATACTTCTCTCCTTAAAATGAAATCTATTGCAAGTTTTTGAAAAGATTATCTTGTTTGAGCTTACAATTTTTAAAATGTCGAGTAAAGTTTCTTGCATTCTATGTATTTTATATACAATGTCCATTTTATTTAAATAATACAATATATATTAAGTATACTCTTTAGTAATATATATAGTATTAGATTATATATATTATATATACATTATATTTATCATACATTTTAGCTTGCAAAGCCATTCAAGACCTTTGCATTAGGTTCGCTTTATCAACATTAATTTTCGCAATTTTAAGGATTTAAATCTTAAAACCTAAACTTTCTATTAAATTATAATTGAACTTTTTCAGAACCTATAAGAGTTTCTATAAGTTCCTATAAGAGTTCCTAGTATCCTAGTTCCCGCGCAGATCGAGTTTGTTTCCGATAATCGATAACTTACTCCGTTTCCAAGCAATCGATAAAAATCGATATCGATATCCTGTTTTTTGGGCAATTTTGGTAAATAATAAGAGCTAGAGCACCAAACTTGACATATAGCTTCTAAAATAGAATATGTATATATGCATTTGATGTTGGAAGAAGAGGGTTCAGGGTATCCCCTATTCGGGAGCTCCCGACTAGAACCTCTTACTTGTTTATATATAATTTTTCCAAATAAGTAACCTTTTCCTATTCTAAACGTTCTTGCTGGTTGTGTTCAGAGCTTAAACCAAGGTTTTAGCTTGAGGTTCGGTTCGCGAACTCTAATCCAGGATTGGATCCTCAGCAATTTTTAATATAACTATTTAGTTTCTTTCAAAATTTTTGAAGGGTTTTTTTTCATGTTCTAAGACTTGCAATTATATTTTGTATATTTGTATATTTAAAAAAGAAGCAAAAATCATTTCAATCAAACTTTAATTGATCAATTAGATACAATTATGTGATATGAGCTAATCCACTTTATGGTTCGGTTCAATATTACATCAGGGTATATAAAATATATGAATTACGATTCGTTTCGTTTTACAATGAATGTAAAGCCTTGGCTTTATTCAAAAATAGTATGCATTAAAAAAAGCTGATTGATTACCTTTTTCGTTATTATTTTATTTTGGCCATATCTCAGAAGTTTTTTTTACGAGAGCTTCTATTCTACCTACCAAAAATATTGTACTTGAAGTATCATACAAAAATGATTCCTCGACCTAATTGATTGCCTTTGTTTTAATTGTTATTATTTTCCAATTATTTTCAGAACGTCCATATCTCATTTATCGCACCAAGTTTGATATTCGGCAATATATGCTGCTTACAATAAGCGAGTCGCAGGTGACAATTTGGACATATCGCGATTGTTATTTGCGCTTTAGCTCCCAGGAGTTCACGATGGATGATCTGCGGGAATCGATACACTTAACCAATAATTCGGTGCAGAAGCGCTATAAGAATAAAGTAAATCGTGATTCGCGTTTGCCGAAAAATAATATGTGGTCATTGGATCAATTTAAATGCCATTTGCGTCATGTGGGCGCACCGGAAGGGACATGGTCCAAAGTATACAATGGGATCAAACAGAATCTGGTGGCTGTTGTTTTGGCTAGCCTGGACGAGACGGAGTTGGTGCCAAATGCATTCGAATTATATGGCTGCGATTTTATGTTGGATGAGCATTATAATCCCATACTGATTGAGATCAATTCGACGCCAGATCTATCGGCCTCGACAGAGATAACAGCGAGAATATGCCCATTGGCGTTAAAGGACTGCATACGTGTGGTATTGGATGTGCCCAGGAATCCCTTGGCCGCAACAGGCCTGTTCGAGCGCGCTTTTCAAGTTAATTACAATGTCAACAAGGAGGTTGACGGTACCAGACCTCTAGAGCTAAACGGTACACAAATGAAACTATTTGACTCGATGCCAAAGCTACGGAATACTCCACGGACTCGCCTGTTGCGCAAAATACTGAACAATGTCAGAACAACGACCAGTCGTAAATTTGGCAAGGATAAAGCTAAATCTTCATCAACACTGCCGACCAAGGTGATTGTGGGCAAACTGGCAATGAAGGTGAGACTCCATAGTCCAATTCTTATACATTATATATATCATTTTCATTTCCCCCTAGAAACTGTCCAAAGGAAACTCGAGGGTTATTCACGTGGGCAACAAAACAACATTGAATTCAAAGGCGCGCGAGAATCTAGCATTACAATATACGGCACCCAAATGACAACATCTGGTAAGCAATTGTTTATGCACATTTATTTCTATTTAGTTTTAACTACTAATATATGCCCTAACCCTTCAATAGCATCAGGCAATTTGTACATAGCTGCAAGCTTTGCAACCATCTAAACTGCTAACAATCGACTAATTAACAAACTTGATATCCCATTCAATAATCAATAGCTTATCCAAGCTATCGATCCGTTAAAGTCGCAAGCAAATTAGTAAATTAGTAAATTTTCAACTACACTCGCAAGCAATGAGTTAACGATTTATTTCAGAAAACAAAAATCATAAACATATCCATGTTTTGTAAAATGCTATAGAATAAAGGTATATAAAACAAAACCCCAAGCACAACTTTTTACCCGAACCACGTACTATTAACAAAAAGTAACTCTACATTTAAATAATTTATTATTTTATTTTATTTTATTATTATTTTGTTTATTTCCACGCTCTTTAAATTTACATCTGAATTTGTTTACCTACTGACTCGTCAGCACGAAATTACTTAAAATATTCATTTTACTTTTTAAGAAAATTGGGAAGAGAATTCTTTAAGAAAATATTCATTTTGCCGTAGAGTTAACTCAAAAGAGTTAATTGTTAACTGTCGGTTCCAACTAAAATGTTCAAATTATTTTGGATTGGTTAAAAATAACCTATATCATTGATCTAACACATATTGGGTGGCGACAAATTTTGGATAGGGATACAAATTTGTATGCTAAAATATGTAACTCTGGTTCATGGATGTGAAAAACCTGGTTTACGAATAAAAACAAAATTTAGGGAGTTGGTTCGAAATTTGAACCGATTCACTGAAAAATTCGGTAAAATTTTTTATATGAACATAAGTAGCATATCTAGATCCTAATTCGAGGAGTTGGTTAGAACCGTGAACCGAACCACTGACAAATTTTGTTAGATCAAAAATAAAAACATCGAAAAGACTCGGAATCTGTTTTGAATCGAACCGGTTCAAGCTTGGAACTACATTTTTCTTTAATAATGAACGGAATCCGAAACGAATCCATGAACATAAGCTTGATGCTGAAAAAGTCTAGTCTAATATATGCTGTAGGTTGGAAAGTTTTGAAAGTTAATTTAGCTTCAGTTGCTGAATCGAATACTGTTCATAAGTTTTGAAACTCTTCATATTTGAAAAATTTAGTTATACATTTTGAAAGAATTTACAATCTTAGAGATTCCTTTTATTTGCATATTATTTCGCTTGAGAAATTTTTTGGCTGCTGCATAAATTTTTTGTTCTTGAAAAATTTAAAATTACATTTTTCGTTGACTTAGATTTATTAAGTTCCCAATTTCAGGATATTGTTTAGCTGGAAAAACGAAATGTATTCGTACTTAAGATTTGGGAATATTTGTAAAGCTTGGAAGTACATTTTTGAGTGGATTTGAAATCCAGGTTATTCCTTAAATTCGAAAATTATTTTGTTTGAAATGGGTTTTTAGAGGATTTGGAGTTCTTATATATATAGAATAGTTTTGGTCGTTGCATCAAAATGTATTCATACCTAAGAATTGGAGTAAATATTTGGAAATCGATTTTTGAGTGGAGTTTTTATATCGTTTGAAATAAGTCTTAGCTGCTGGATTCTGAAATATTTGAAAATGTTGAAATTTAATTTAAAGATACGGGAACTTAAACAAAGAGATTGTATTAATGCGAATATTATTCCGTCTGAATATTTGAAATTCTCTCAGATACGGATAAACGTTTTCCCCATAAACAATGGCAGTGGGTGGTTAAGTGGATGCTGTGGCTGGAGTGTGTGGGGTTGTGGGTGGTTCAACAAGTGGGAGGTGGCACTGTCAGCAATGTGTTAACGGTCAACTTATTGCTGCTGCTGGCCAGTTGTGCGGTGCGTGGACTAATTGGTGGCGTCTGCGAGAGCTGCAGCTCGCTGGAGGCCTGCTTCATGGCAGACACAATGGGCTCGCCACGATGCAGCGCCTGCACCGAGATGCTGATGGGCAGCCGGGGTCCATACGATCTGCGCCCGAAGGTGCGTCCAATGGCATGCAAGCTGGCCGAGCTCTCGATTTCGGATTTGGTGCGCGCAAAACGTTGTGAGCATTTGATGCCATCTAACAGTGTGCCACGGGATCTGGAGCAGCTGTTGGCTGTGCAGCTGCTGCTGCTGTTGTTGTTGTTGTTGTTGTTGTTGTTGTTGGTTATGCTGCGCAGGCTGCGCCACTTGCGCTCGCTGTTAGCTGGCGCCGTGGCCGGCGCACTGGGCGCCTCCTGTTTCTCGAGCAGATTATCTGAAGCATTGCAGGCATAATTTTTGATAAGTATTTTGAACTTTTTCTCTGTGCCCTCCCCATGTTGCTGCACAAAGCGTGGACCGCAGCTGCGCTGTCGCTTCGGTGGCAGCGCATTTGTGGCAGCTGCCTCTGGAGCGCCTGTGGTGTTGCGCTTGTGTGTGACGCTCAACAGTTGGGTTATGGAGCGACCCGCCTGCTTCAGCAGGTACGGACAGGGCGTTGTTGCTGCTGCCGCTGCTGCTCCTGCTGCTGCTCCTGCTGCAGGCACCGACGTGGGCTTGAGCGTAGGCACAGCTGTTGCTGGCTGTGTGCTGCTGCTAATGCTGCTGCGACTGCTGCTCAATGGCTCCACCATGTATTTCTCCATGTATTCGGTGGCATTGAAGGTGGGCATGGCGCGATGTATGCGCGACATATTGGCTGGCGGTGGCACAATTGCGGCACGTTGACGGAATACACTGCTCGTGGCCAGGCTGCGCTCCTTGCGCTGATGATGCTGCTGCTGATAGTAATGGACATGGCCATGGTTGAGCTTGTGCAGCAGCTGTTTGCCCTTCACAAACAGATTGAGTCCCATGTAGGCGGGCGTGGGCGGCACCACCTGACGATAGGCCAGCTCAAAGTTGCCCATATCCGATTTGGGATCCAAGCGGCGATCAATTACGACTAGAACAAATAGTTAGTTAATATTAGTTGTCTTGTCGAGACGACCTAGTCCAGTTTGTTCGTCAGCCTGTCTGTCAATCTCTGGCGAAATGGATCCTCCCCTATCGGACCACAAAATAATAACGAGATCTGATCTGATCCCACCTGTGGAAACAATCTCTGAGAACTACCTTATCACATAGCACCCATGGAAACAATCGTGGAACATTGAGCATATAAAACGCATTTAAGACTCATTTGTAAATCTACGACAAGCCGAAGATGCTTTTGTACTCACCCTTGACCACATCCTCCAGGCACTTGGGACACATGCGCGCCGTTACGCTAGTCGTGGCGCCCAGATCTGGACTTGAATTAATTTCAATTAGCCACGGATAGAAGTTCTCGCATATCATGAAATCGGCGCCAAACAGCTCAAACGTATTGGGCCGACGATCCATATTCTCCTGGGATGCCAGCATGGTGCCCACTATGGCCTTACGCATGCCCGGATATATGCGCTCCAGCCACATGTTCGACTTGCCAATTTGCCGCAGATAGGCCTGAAACGAATAGCAATCCCACATATTCTCGCTGGGCAGCCTCTTGTCTCGCTTGCCATTCGTATACTTCTTCTGTATCGCATAGTTGGTAAGATGCACCGATTCGTGATGGTTGCTCAGGCTGTACTCCTGCGAGCTGAAGCGCAAATAGCTCTCGCGATAGAACCAGACCACCAGAGGCTGTGTGTTGGTTATCAGAAACCATTGGCGTATATCGAACTTGGTTTGGAAGACTATTAAGGGTCGTTCTTGAAGAGAGAGTTTTGAGAAGAAATTGAATAAATATCAGAGAGAATTGGTAAGCTTAGGCGGACAGGTTTGTGTGGAGAGCTATGAGGAGAGTAAAACTTTCTTTTAACTATGGAGAATCATAAAATATTTATATATTTTTATAAAGTTTTACCATTAGTTATTAACGTATATATTCAATTAAAAGATTCTAAACTTATCGTTATGTACGTTTAAAATTCACAAATTCTTGCCTTGGATCAAAGTTTCCTTTATTTCCTGTCAAGAATATCGTTAAGAGTTTAATTTAATTATTAACTTTTTATAATTGACGCCTTTAAGCGCTTAGTCTTCATCATTTGGATTCTCTGGTTTCAGTCTCAATTGTTTAGCTATTCGATTAATAATGATATGTGGTAATGATAATATACGCAAGTCATGTCAGGAATTAGGTGTTGCGTAGAGTCCTTAATCTCCAGTCGCTTAATTATATGCCTTTGCCCCATACTCTGTAGTCTTTAGACTATAAGTTCTTCTTCTTAAGCTCCATTTACCATCCGGTTGTTTAACTCGTTACTTTTAACTCTCAATCCTTTTTACTCTGTGCGCTTCTTTCAATACTCGCTTCTCTCTATGCTATACTCTGGGTTTTTATCTCGATTCTCGGCGACTTATCTTTGATTTTTGACCTATACTCTTGAGTCTTTTGTGTCTTATAGTCTCCAGTTTGTAGTCTCCACCCTTTTTTTTTTGTTTTTATAATGAAATACTCTTTTAGTTTGTTTGTCAATCATCTAGGCTTTATGCTGTAGATTTCGATGTCTTCTCACCTTTATGCCACTCTGTCTACTCGAAGCTCTCCATTCTATTTTCTGGGTTCCAGTTTATGGCCTGTTGCCGCTGTAAACCTGTTGCATGAACTACTTATTTTATTGACAACAAAAACCCATAAAACAAATTCGGAATTCTATTCGCAATCAACAACAGCTACAACTACGAGTAGCTGCGCTTTTCAGTCGACTTTGTATGCATTTTAGCTTAGCCTTTGCATACATATATGCATATTTTTTGTATAGGTATCTCTGTACAAATGTGTGGGGCATGTGCGTGCCATGCAGTCACGGGTAGGTGGAAACTTCGTAGGTTTACGCCCAACTGCCAAGGCATCAAAAGCAACAACAACAACAACAGCCACAACAATGTCAGCGCCCTGATTTTTGACCCACTTTTGCTGTGTTTGTTTATGTCGTTTTATTCCAGAGCTGGAATATATTTAGTAGCGTATGTATTTTTGGCGAATTTTAAATAAATCATATGAAAAGAGCCCACATTTATTAAAGTTGTATCAATAAATAGGGTATCACAGAAACAGCATAGATTTGGAGGAATTTAAGCAATTTGGAAATAGGTTGACTATCGCATTAATTCTTTCATCAGAGTCTAAAATCTGTTAAAATACAGTTCCTTTATACTGAAGACTCACTGCCATATACGTAGCTCTTGACTAGTCTATAAAGCGAATTTTAGTCTTTTTCCCAGGTTATCACTTTCTTCTATAGTCTATATCAAGAATTTTAGTTACTTTTCCTGGGTATTTCGAGGCAAAGTATTTTCGATTATGGCAATCTATACTTCAAGCTGTTTACAGGGTATCTCCTTATTTGGCATATCCCTTTTCGAACATGGCTCAGTCACGATAGTTTATTTTAAGTGGGTCAAGACCTAAATCACTTAAAGTCTTTTATAGGGAACCTTTAAACTGTTTACAGGGTAGCTCCATTATGTTTATCCGTGGTATCGTCAGGTCAAGCATTCTAATTTCAGATATTTATCCAGAGTATTTTATGGTCGAGCGCTGTTTGCAAGCAAATAAATTTGTTTTGGATGTAATACTTCAAACTGTTTACAGGGTATCTACTAGTTGACTATGCTCATTTCTATACTACTTTAATATTTTACATTGAACTTTCTACTGAGTTCCTTTGAATTATTTGCTTATCTAAAGGGGATAGGTTTACAGGGTATCACCTAGTCGACTATGCTCATTTAAAAACAATTTAATTTTGTATATTGAACAGTCTATTTACTTCCCTTGCATTATATGCTTATCTGACTTGAAATACATCCCTTACAGGGTATCTTAGTGGGTAAATACTTGGCAAATGAAATCAGAGATTTCTCTCTTTTTTTCTTTTTTACATACCTATGTACTTTTGCACCACATAGCGACTCTTGGAGGCTATCGATGGATTCACGACGCCCAAGATTTTCTTGAGGTTGTCCATTAGTAATATGCCACGCCCACGACATTTATTTGCCGGCTTGACAATCCACAAATTCTGATAGCCATCCAGGCTGTACTGTGGCCAATGCACCTTCATTTTCTCCACCAGCGTAACACAGCTCTTGACCATGTGGTCGAGCGTCCGTTGGCCATCATGCTGGATGCGTCCATCCTCGTTGACCAGCTGCTGGTGCTGGTAGAGGAACGCATCCCAGTCGTGCTCCCATACCTTGGGCGGATCCTCGTAGTCAATGTCATTGTGCTGGCAGCTATCGATGTAATCGACCAGACGCTTGTAGGCAAAGTCTATCGAGGAATAGGGTATCTTGCCGCTGGGCGAGAAGACCGAATCGGCGCCATGTTTATGATATCTGCAGAGCATGGCCCGCAGATAGGCCACGCAGGCGGTTAGCTTGAAATTGTCCACGAATTCACCCAACTCCTCGGGACTCCAGACATTGTAGCAGCGCGGAAAATACATCTCGGCCATGCCCTCCTCGAAGAACCAGTGAAAATCGCGGAGTTGACTGCACAGACCCTCCTTGGAGGTGAAGGGCGCACGATGGAATTTATTGATGGTCATGCCGGGATTCTTGGCCTGATCAATATAATCGCACTTCTCCTTGCGATTGGTCCACAGAAAATCAACGGGCATGTGCTCCAAGAATCTGGACATTATATTCCGCTCGCACTTGAGCACATACTGACGCCTTGTTTCGCCCGCCTTGCGTTTGGGCAGCCGCTGCGTCAGATCCTCATAGGTCATCTGACCCAGCGGCACAACCTTGCGATGCATGTCCAGCTTTTCCACCCAACCGCGCGCGAGCAGCGCATTACGCACCGAATTGAAGCAGCCGCGTATGGTAAAGATTTTGTTCTGTTTGGCCGCCTCCTGGGCCTTGCGCCGCAGCTCGTTCATGCGCTCCGTGGATATCCAGGCGCGACGTGCCACATAATTGTTGGGTGCGCCCTGCTGCCGGCTGGCACAGTTCTCCTTGTTGCACTCCTTGTTGTTTTCCTTGTTGCACTCCTTGTTGTTTTCCTTGTTGTTCTCCTTGTTGTTATTGTTGTCCGGTTTCTGGGCCGGCACACGCGCTGTCGTTAGCTGTATGCTGGGCACTGTCAATGCGGCTGTTGTGGGCGGCGCTGTGGGCGTGTCTGATGTCCTTGCCCCATTGCACAATGTGGCACTCGAGCATTTGTGCTGCTTTAGCGCTCCGTTGAGCTGCTCCTTGCTTCCATGTGGCTCACTGCTCGGACGCGTCTGCTTTTGGAGCAACAACTCGTGCATAGCGTACCCGCTGAGCTATGCCCCTCGACTAATTCGTGGCCAGATGCGTTTGGCAAACGAAATGCAAATTCAAATGCGATTTGCCACTCCGAACGCAGCGCGAATCGCTGTCTGACTAACTGACAAATTGCCTGACTGGGCCACTGGGTGATTTGGGGCTAGAGATGGGCGCGGGGCGTGCTTACTTTCTTGTTAGCACGAAACAAGCACGACGTGCTCGGGCCTCCGAATTCATTTTCGTGCGTGCTTGCGTCACACCACAAAAGCACGAAAAATAAAGGTATGATAAGGGCACGAACTCTCTTTAAAAATAATTTAAGGAAAAGAAACCAAAAAATTTACTAAAAACACGCAATTTCAAATCGAAATGTCTAGTTGTTAGTTAGATTATTTCATATTTAACAAGTTGTGAGAAATTACTTAAGAGAAAACTATATTTAAAAAATTAATTTAAAAAAAATTACGGCAAAAATTTCAGAATTTAAAAATGTAAATATATTTTTATTGGTCTCGTGCATTTTTCGTGGTCGTGCTTGGCTCGCGCTCATCTCTAATTGGGGTGTCTGTGTGTGTGTCTGTTAATTTTGACTACGGGCGGGCCTCATATGGGGGCTGCCTGGCAACCATTTGAGCCAGTTGAGTTCATAACTTCAGTTTCGGCTCAAACGACTCTATTAATAGCAACAAAACCAGCCAAAACTCTTAGGTAGGTGCTCTCCCATCCGGAGCGGGAGCGGAAGCGGAAACGAACGCTTTGAAGGAGCTCGATTCGCGTCATAGCCATAAGTGCTTCTCGTTGAGAGTTAACATTGGATTAGGTCGACTTGAGTGAAGGTTTGTTGGCCTATCTCTGGGCAGACTAGACTTGTGTGACCTTAGTGACCTTGGGTCATCCGTGGGGATTATAGAAGGAATTCTTAAGAATCTGAATGAATTTAAAACAGACTAAGGCACATATAGAATTTTAAGATAGAAGGTGATAATATGAGGTCAGTTCTTAGTGGGCCTCCAAAAATATTCATGATAGGAAACAATGAAGGATAAAATATAAATTAAAATAAAAACAGACAGTGTAAGAGAACAGCGAATGATTAGCTGAGTTTAGCAACAAAAAATAACTATCCTAGTCAAAACTTCACCTCAATTAAAGCATTTAAAAAGCTTCAGAAACATGTAGGATACTTAATATGATATACCTGGTAGCACCATGCGAAAACAGGATATAAATAGTTAGGTTTTGATAAAAATGAGCTCAATGTAAATTGATCAAAGGATGAAGTTGATTTTTATGACACGGAAGCAAATTTGATCATATATAACAGATTTAAGACAATTATAAATATATAATTTGAAGATTTAAGATAGCGCCCAAGTAAGGCAGCTCTGATTCGCTTCAAATTATAGAGAATACATAGATAATACTCTTTTCCAATTTTCTGTTTCCTATTCTGAGAGGAACTTTTAATGTTGATTTAATAAAAAGCAGAAATAACGCAATTTAAATGGTATTTTAAGAAAGCGGAGTCTATCGTCGTATTATTGAAAAGATAAAGATAGGGAAAAGAATTGAATATGATAAGTTGGAGTTTTTTATTTTATTTTTTTATAGTACTTTGGGCCTAAATAGATAACGTCTACTGAGGAAAGATAATATTCTGCTAGTGCTTTTAACTCCTTAAGCTTAAATTAGATATAATTTTCAAAATTGGGTATTTATGCTTAGGACAGATATACAAAGTATTCGGCTAGGATTCAAGGATAATAGTGAATCTCTGGCGTGTTCTGACATTAAATGCGACTTGCTTGTGCTCACATCAGTTGTTGTTCTTGTTGTTGTTGTTGTCTGCTTTTGACTTCATGTTGTGGGTGTTGTTTGGAATCGTTGTTTGTCGTCACAGGTGCTGCCAGGCCAGGCCTTGGTGACGTGCGCGGCTCATATGAATATGAATGCTCGTTCGAGCGAGAGAATACGAGCTGGCAGTGGATGGGTGTGCGAGTGTCGTCTATTTGCGCAATTTGTACAATGGCGGCCTTTTCAATTATTTGTAAAATAATCAAGTTAACTGTCACCGCAAAGGGTTATCAGGGTTTGGGGGAGGGACAGGCTTTACGTCAGGCAATTCATTCCTTCCCATGGCTTTGTCTATTTTTTTTTTATATTTTTAATTTGGGGTATTTGGTTCAAGGACGTCTCAGCCGCAAAACTTAATTTGCGGCAAGTTTCTGCACAGGTTGCGACTTGCTATGACAGGTGGCAACTGTGCTGTTGGGTGGTTGGTTGCTTGGGTGTTGGCTGTTGGGTGGTGCCAACCAAACCACACGGCAACACCTCACATACGTCAAGGCGGCGGCGGCGGAACTATGCCGCTTGTCGTGTCCTTGCGTGCTGTTCAAGTTTTGCGAATCTTTGGCTCAGACTATTTTGTTTATAGATTACCTGGTATTTAGCGTATAGAGCGAGATACCTTTGCTGCTTCTTGTTGTAGTTGTAGTTGCAAGTGGAACGGTAATTAATTTCGCTTCAATCGCTGGGGTAAAAAATAATCTGCACGACTTGGAGTTATCCTGAATCATTGAAAATATTTTAAATACTCACACACAAAAACTCAAACGCACGTCGCACAGTTTAGACTGCGACTGTGCTTCTTCTTGTCTCAGGCCAACTCTATAGGAAATGTGATCTTTAATATCTTGGAAGATAATGAGTCTTTACCATGGATGTGCATACTCTACAAGAACCTCTTTCTGTCCGTTACATACATTTGCCCAAACACATCAATCCCCTTTTAACACATTTCCAATGGACTTGGCGTATAAATAGTTTTGCGGCAGCTTTATCGCTCTGGGGTAATGTGAGTCAAAGCGCTTTATAAACTTTCGCCCAGTTAAGGCGGAGTTGCTTAAAAGTTGTCTATTGAGGTCAGGGGTGTTTACGATTAGGGGGGGGGAAGGAAGACTGTAGAAGGAGCGATGAAAGTGATATGAACTGTGCTATAGGACAATAAATAAAAGTTAAAAACTTTTAATTGCACGAATTTTATTCGAAATAAAGTAAAAGTATACGAACGTTTAAAATTGGGCCATTTCTTTGTAATCATGTAATCCGTTTATGGGATTAACAAGTTATTAAAAAAAAATAAAAAATTATTGAAATTATTGTGTGAATATTTCGCACAGATAGGGCATTTGTATGATATTAGACGACGCTTTCTTTTAAAAATATTTTTGATAGTTTCGTTGGTGGTTTTGCTTATATTTTAGATTCAATGAAACCAATTAATCTAGAATTCTAATTTTAATATTATATTAAGCTGAAGAATAAAAACAACTTTAGTAACTTTTCGAGGGGAACTTTCCGAGTAAACTAAACATTATATTATCATATCAAAGTAAATAAGTATATTCCCCTTTCCTATATTTAAAAAGTTGTTTCGTTAGTTTCGAGAATTTTAGTCCGAAATCATAGAAAAATTGTGATCTTTAGCTATCTTTTACAAACTTTTTATAATTTCAAAATTTTTTAAAATATCTTTTTTTGTTTTTATAATAAACATGGTTTAATTTCTATATGATGTATCATGTTTGAATTAATTCAATTTTGATTTTATGCCGCTCCGAATGGAGCCCAAAAACCTGTCTAAGCTCAAATCCGCTCCTGTTTGAAATGCAAAACTTACGCACAATGCATTGAACCCAAAGCGCAAGACTTTGCGTTAATCGAAAGCTTTTAGCTGAGCAGCAAACGCATGAAAGCTTTTCGCCACATGCAAAAGTTCAGCGAAATAATAACAGAGAGAGACAGAGAGAGAGAGAGAGAGAGCGCGCGCGAGAGAAAGAGAAATAAAGTCCAGTTGCCCATGATGCTCGGCCAGGCCGAACGAAAATGGACGAGTGCCGAATATCCATGCACGAGCGCCCCGCGCCGCGAACCGAGCGTCGAGCGCGAGAGCCGAACGCCGCATTTGCCGAGTCGCGACGATGCAACAAATATAAAATACGAAACGCTTGGAAAATGTGAAAACATTCATAACGGAAAACTCCTGACGTACGGACGTGTTGCGTCGTGCTTTCCATCTCTGTACACGTCTTTCGCTGCTTGTGTTTTGTGTATTATTTCTGTGAGCACGCGTCTTGTTCTTTTCGCGCTCAACTCGCTTCTCACTACGCTTACTTATCTTTAAAAAACCAAAAACAAAATAATCTGCGAAAAAAAAAAACAACAAAATTCTCATTCATCTAATATTTGCGTTATTTTGCCGCGTCTTGATTTTTGCATTGTGCACAACCTTGAAGATTTGCGCGCTGGAAACAAACAACTTGTCAATTTTACAAGTGCAATAAAATTCAAGTATTTTTACAATCGCCATTTGCAATGTGACTTTTTAAGTGTGCGTGACCCGCCCGCCAATTGTACTTTGTTGTGTTGCCAAAAAAATACAAATAATATTAATAACAAAAACAAAACAAAAATTCTTACAAAAATCTCCAATTGATCAAAGCGCTGCTGCCCCAATAGAAAAAAAAGAAAGCAAAACAAATTAAAAATCTGCAAAGTGGGTTTTCAAGTCGAATTTGGATTATTGCGAGGGAAGAGCAGCTGTTGCCAATACCACGAAATGGGCACTATTGGTGAGTACCTCCATTCAAAATTACAACAATTTATCCCCAAAATTAAAGTTACTTTTGTAGAGAGTTTATTTATGTCTAAGAAGTATACTAACATTTTTTGCTAAATTTAGATATATTATTATTTGAATGGAGAAAAAATGCATGCCTCAAAGTGAAGCTCAACATATATTATCTAAAATTATATGAAACTACAATAGTTGGGGCTAGATTTGGGGTTCAGGGACCAGCTAAAATAATTTAAAATTATATTAAACTCTATAAAAGGTCAGGCACCTGGTGAAAGATTCTTCCACTTTTGTATCTGTGAAATATTTTTGTTCTTTAAAGTGGGCTGTGTTGACATGTTTATTTGCGTATCTCTACTTGAAATTAAAATATTGTCTGAACATTTATTTAAAGTATTTTTGGAAACTGTTAATTGGCTTAAGTAAAGCTTATAATACATATGTATATGCATGTATAACATATGTATGCTAAGGTTCTGAGTTTAATTTAGCTATTTTATGTCCGATTATAGAAAGAAGCCATATACAAATGAACAACGATAAATATTATATAAAATTGTATTATAATATACGAAACAGTTTATCCATAAATTTATATAACTATTTTTTGAAGAAAAGCTTATAAAAGATGCCTGCTCAGGTTAGACATTTATTATTTAACTAAAGAAAATTTAATTTTATAAAAATGATCATCAAAAATTATTATATGAAGTTGTCTTCTACTTTAAACGAAGTAGAGAAATATTATATTAATTTGTGTTATATTCCAAATTAAAATATTGTATATGAGGGCTAGTTTTGGGGGTCCCAGACCAGATAATCTATTCTTTAGTTGTGCACATTTTTTACTAGAGCTTATGCTACGAACATAACCAGGATTTCTAATCCTATCATAATAATATATTTTGAAAGACATCAGATCCTATCTCAGATGCGCAGAAACTTGCGGAATTTAACTACTAGATTTTTACTTATTTTTGTATTTAATTGAATCAATGGAACTTCAAAATTGAAAACTTTAAAAATGATTTAAACTATTTTATGTTTGGAAAATTATGAAATTAATTGGGTATTAAAATTTTGACAGTATAAATTCAGCTCTAAAATCGATGCGATTCATTAAATTTTATTTCTTAGAATTCAGTTGCAATTTCTATATTTAATTATGATATAGTTTAATGTGGAAAGCCTTGGTTAATTTTAAGTTAATTTAAGTTGCCAAGCAGTTAAATTTTTCGCTGTATTCGGAGTGAGTAAATCCTTCCAAGTTTTGCTTTCGAATTATTTTAAGGATGTTGATTAACTTCAGTTGACTTCATACAGTTATTCAATTGTTCTTGATTAAACTAGCTTGCCACAAAAATGAGCTGAAATGTAATCTGTTTAGATGCCCGGCTTGAATACAAAATTTAATAACATTATATAAATAAACCCCATTGAGCCAGTCGAACAATATGCCGGCAAAAAGAAAGGAGCAGAGATTTTATTCTATTTCTTTTTTCAATTATTACATGTGGGCGTTGCCCAACAATGGGCGTTGTCATATCCTGTTTGTGTGTGTGTGTTTGTGTTTGCTTTTCAATTATCCTAGCTAAAAATAAACCAAGCACGCACAACAAGCAGCCCCAGCGACAAGCACAACAATAAATTGGCGCTTTTCAACACTCGCGCGACAAAATGCCAAACGACGTCATTATGATAAACATGGTCTAGGTTCCGGCCGCTAATTCTATCAAAATTTTGTTTATCCAAATAAAAAAAAAAACCAGTGAAAAGTGAAAAAAAAACCTGACCGACCTAAGTCATAATCGAATGACGCACGCAAATGTGCCGGCTCTGATTTCTATGCTATAGTTAAAAATAAACCCTATAGACACTATATACATACATAAGTGTGTGTGTGTGCGTGTGTGTGTGTTTGTCCGTGTTATCCTTGAACAGGCAGTGTCCTTTCGTTGGCACACCTCACCGCACCTCAGCCGGCCATCTTTAGAGATACAAATGCGCTTTGATTGCCAGCCAGCCAGTCGGAGGTGGAGGAGGAGCAGGAGGGGCAGCAGACAGTGGCAACCACTTGGCTCAATGGGTTCGTTGTGCCATGGGGACACAAGTGTCTGTTAGGCGGGAACGGGAGCGGGAACGGGGTCGGTTTTAGAAGCGGGGTTTTTCATCTGAATGTTGCTACTTTGTATGCCATTTGTTGTGCGTGTGTGCCTCTGCCGCTGTGTGTGGGTGTGTTCTATGTATGCTTGCCTCTATGTATTAGACACGCTTGATATGCTGCTCAATGCTGTTTGCCTGTTTGCCTGTTTGCCAGCCCGACCCGGGTATCCAAGCGAATTTCTCGTTTGCGTCACCCAAAAGTTCAGAGTTGAATGTGACCATCGATTCTACAAAAGCCATTGTTTTAACCAACACTGCGCATTGCGTTTTTGCAACAAATTACGTTAAGTGTTAAGTAATGGCAGAAAATACTTTGATTTCTACTTGGAAATAATATTGTCTTTAGTTTTCTTACAAAAATTGTAGGTAAAGCTTAGCCAAATCGTAGTTTAGCTGAGCAAATTTATATATTATTTTTATGAAGTTTGAAGCTATAATTTTTCAAATTTTTATGATTATTTTGCAGTCGTTAATTAAATATTCTTAATATATACATAAATAAATAAATACATATATATTGTAAAGGAAACAAGTCATGCAGTTACCTTCATAAGTCTATTCTTGTAAAAAAGGTGTTGCCAGTAGTTGAAAAAAATTTGGCAGTGTTGTACAACGCCTAGGCTTGTTACTCCAATGCCTTTTCAACATTTGTCGCAGCAATATCTTATTTGAAAATAAGGGGCAATGTTCAGTTATATAACCTGAACCCATTGAAAATGGGTAAGAAGGGTTTAATGGTTTTTCATCATATTGTACTACTGTGGTAAATAGCCTTTTTAGTGTTGTAAAACACGTAAGATTCTGCAAAATAGATGTTATGGCAAAACTGTTTGGAAAATTCTAGTTATTTATCCTAGTTATTTATATTTATGTTTCACACTTAGTTTACAAACATAAAAAATGAACATTTGATTCATTTAAATGTAATGTCAGTTCACTATATAGACCATATTTTCTTTGATAACGTGTCTTATTTGAGGAGCTTGTGTTAGTACCCAAATCATGTAGCTCAGTGTAATTATGTGTAGCTGCTTGGATTTACGCATTTGCACTTGACATTTGCGTAAAGTTCATCGGTAAATTGTTGTCATTCGCCGCAACGAAATTATAAACCACAAAATTTATATATATATACGCACAGCTCTGTAAGAGGAAGCCCAAAATTGACAAACCAGTGAAAGATCGCTGAAGGTCGCTGCTTAATAAACAGATTCCATTGACTCGAATATTAAGTACTACAACAATAATACATAGACAATTACGGGAGAACATTACGAGCTCTTAATAACAATAAATATGATGGCAGACAATGGCCACGGTTTCTGGATAAAATTCAGCTAATGGCCAAGTTAATGACTGCGTTAAGCTGTAAGCAAATATATTTATCAGGACAATGAGAATGACGTTGAATATAATTTCTTTTCATTACCCTCGAGTGTGTGAGGGTATTATAATTTTGTCAAGAAATGTGTAACGCATAGGAGCAGGCATCTCCAACCCCCCATAAACTAAATATATTCTAGCTCAGCATCAATAAACGTGTGGATATAGCCATGTCTGAATTCAGTCAGCCAAATCTTAACAAGATCGCACTACTAAATGAAGAATCTCCATGGAAGAATCGGTCGAAAAGTAGGTTCTTAAGACCAGGCAAAGATATACGTCCAAAAAATATATACGATCTATACGCATCTCTTAAAATTCGTTCAATTTAAACATTTCAAACTTTATTTCAATAGTAGTATCAGTCACTTGCAGCTGGCTTTAGTCTATTTTTAGACTCTGCTAACATATTTTAGATTTTCAATCTTGTCATGCATACACTGTACCTTCACAATGGGACAGGTGGGTTTCGGCTGGAGGCATTTGCAGTATACGAAAGATTTCATTAGAAATTCGTAAAAATCCTCATTGTTGCTGTCCGCCTTGAGCAGCTCGCGATAATCCTCGACGCTCTCCAAACTAATTGGATCCAATTGATGCATATAGCATTTCATTTTGAGCACTGCTGAATAGAAATAATTAAAGATATCGATGACCATTAGCTTGTGGCATTTGATGCTCCGATGATGTTTATCGCCCATTATGAAGGGCGTCTCCAGGCTGTGATCCAGTTGATTGTAGGCCTCATAGAATTTCTTACACTCCACATTGATATCTAAAATGGCGTGTTTTATGCTATTGCTATAACATAGAATTATATAGCATATAGTATGGGATTATATAATGTACAATATCTAAAGACATTACTTGGAGCAGCGCAAAACTTCCAGTTTCTCCTCGTATTCATTGATAATCGCCTCCTCGGCGGAGAGTGTATACACCTCGGGATAACGACAGCCTGGCGCCGAGCTGATCAGTATCAGATATCGTTGGGTTAACAGCCACAAACGTTCGATAATTATTTTCTGTGTCTCGAGTTCGCATTGATAGAACTGATAATAATCACAATAACGTTTCTCCATATCCACCAATAGACCCAAGATTTCTGCCTCCTTTTCGTAATGATCTTTCAGCTGGGGCGTCAAATGGGCTTCCTCGTCCTTAGACATGATCTATTTTGTGCTGGTTGTTGTTGTGTCTACAATTTTTATACAATATGAATTTTTTTACTGAAACGGGACACAAAATCCAGAGCATATCAGACTAAGTTTAGTCTGGTGAATTTTGTAGCTTAACTTTGAATTAATGTCCGAACGTAAATTCTCGCTATTAATTAAAATCAAGCCCATCAATTTGCATTCGACTTTGATGTTAATCTAATTTGTGGCCATCAATAAATTAAGTTAACGAAAACGAAAGACAAGAATAAGAAATTTGAATTTAATGCTTTGTGGATTTAGTTAAAGAAATGTATGGCATATAATATGGCTTGTTCTCCTTTGGGAAATAAATGGGAATGATTTGGTCTATTCAATTCAATTTTATATATATTGTGAGATACTGTATGCTTAAAAGTTTAATATGTTTAAATTTAAACAAAATAAAATATCTCATTCAGTATATAAAATATGTGATATAATTGGAGCTTCTATAGAAGAATAAACTGTGGATGTAAATTGATAATATATGTCTTCATATATCAAACTGTTTGTTCCGAATGACTGACTGACCGAGTGATTGACTAACTGACTGACTGATTGACTGACTGATTGACTGACTAACTGACTGACTGATTGACTGACTGACTGACTGACTAACTGACTGACTGACTGACTGACTGACTTATTGACTGATTGACTGGCTGACTGACTAACTGACGAATTAACTGATTGACTGACTGACGGATTGACTGACTGACTGACTGATTAACTGACTGACTGACTGATTGACTGACTGACTGACTGACTATTTAAGTCGAACTTTTGTCAACTGTTCAAGCTGATAAAAACTATACGTGTTTTATGGTTATCCTTTGTATCAATATGATACCCCTTTAAGTATATTTTTAGTGTAGGGTATGCGTAATAAAAAAGTCAAGCGATGCGCAGCGTGCAATTCACATAAATCGATTTAAAATAGATTTGTCGAATACAATTAATATATCACTAATACGTCACGTTGTACAGCTACATGTGATTGCCGTATCATATATGTATATATATGTATATATATGTAGAAATCTGTGAATTTGTTAGCGAACCAAAAGTCAGTCGAGCAGTGAATATATCTTCTGATTGATTTCGATTAGATACAACATTTTGTGGCTTGCGAAACCAAAAACGTAATTTGAAATTAGCCAATTTCAGTTGGCAGCCCAAAATGGCCACTTTGGCTGCGGCCACCCAGTTTGCACGTTTGGAATTCAATAAATATACATATATCTATATATTTCTGAAATGCGTAAAAAGTGTTAAGCAATGGGCATAGAGACTGGCAGACAGACAAAGAGTGCGATAGAGAGGCAGAAAAGAGAGAGAGAGAGATGCGCATTTATGAAGTGCGAAGCCAATTGCCGCTTGCAAAATTTCAATAGTAGACACTGTATATAAATAGCTATAAACATATGGCAGCATTTAGCTAACCCCCTTCACCACCCCCCCACCTCATCCTCAATCCACTTTTCAGCAAACAAAAAACTAGCATTGCTCATTTTTTCGAACATTTCAAAATATTTCTTAATATTACACAAATAAACAAATGGAATTGTTGTTTACCAGGCTTTGAATGCGTGCGTTAATTAATAAATTAGTAATATGGTTAAAAGCAAAAATCAAAGCAAATGCGAGCTAATTATGCGAATTAAATTTATGCTCTATAATTATTAATTACATTTTAATATTTTTAACAATTAGCGACAGGTTTCTTTATATTTACCCCGTAGAAAATGTTAATTGGAGCTAATGAAGATGAATATATACTAAATGAAATTTTGCAAAGGTTTTTAGGACTTCTTTAATGCCAAGTCTTGTGCGACGACTTTTTCCAAAGCAATTTTATAGCTTGGTTGTTTTCATAAAATGTTCTACAAATTTCTGCATTAATGCTGGCGTTCATATGGTTTAGTTTTTATTTTATAATAATTTACTAAACTGCAAATTTAGTTTCACTTTTCTAAAAGTGAGATTCATGAAAAACCAAATTGAAATCCTAGAATTACAAAGGACTTTAATACTTGAAATCTGGAAGAACTTTATGGAATCCTTTTTTCTACTTCACATTTGAATAATAATATATTTAATCAAAGTTTTTATTTTAAATGGTGAATTTTTAAAATATATTTCAGTGCTTGTTTTTTCTTCAGGCTTGCACTAATTAATATAATGATATTTAATTATAATTTATTCCGTATTTACATTATAATATTACTTTATTCTGAGCATGCTCAACTGCGCTTAACAATTTGTCTTTTCTCTAGCTAAACTTCTTGGAAACTTGTGCAGTGCTTGTTGCTTTAACCTTTGTCAGCTTTAGCTCTGATCTCTTGCAGTTCTTTGAATTAGCTTCAGGCCTTACTCTTATCTAAAAGACGTAAACTCTCGTTCATTGCAAGCTGCTTTGCATAGTCTTTATGACCCCACTTTGAGATAGAGCAACAAAAAGAAAAGCAAAGTGAAATGTTGAATAATGAAAATGAAATGGCCAAGCGACGCACATTTTGCACACATTTCAATTTGATTTTGTTTATAAATTTTAATTGGCTTTGCTTTGGGTACCACGCGGCGTATGCGCAATGTCTTCGAAGCACTAAAGCCATTCCTTCTCTATGTGTATGTGCGTGTGCCCAAGCTGTTTTTTATCATCAGCGCCAGCTAATGGGCCTCTCTGACTGTCCGACTGTCCAATCGTCCAACTGTCCGCCCATCTGTCATTCAGTTCGTGTAAGTTGCCTTTTGATTGCGCGCCTTTCAGCGCGTCTTTTATGCAATTAATTCACAGAGTTTTCTTGCCGTCCGAGTTATGGCTGCGGTCTTTCAGCCATTGAGTGCAACGAACCAATTCAGTTGCTTAATTGTTCGCCTTTATCAGTAGTTCTCTTCTCTTTGGGCCGGGCTAAAAGCCCTTAATTGACGTCTTGATTTATGCAGAAACTTGACGTCGTTTGCAATTGGCGTGAGCTGAAATTGTAAAGCGATTGATGTGTGCATATATATATTTAATGTGAATGTGATTTCTGCTCGACTTCATTTACATTTTTTTCTGCAGAATTAACGTGAATTGTATTTGCATGTGTTTCCTTGGAAAATGCAAAATTTTACAACTAAAAGGTTTCGAGATTTTTCCATTTACTTAGTGTCCAGCCTTGGCGAAATTTTATGTTATAAAATAAATAAAATCGTCGGATTATATTCCAAGAATATCGTAAAATTGCGACGAATGTTAATTGTAATTCAAATATAAATAATAAATGAAAATTATAAAATACTACTAATAAACTTGGGAATTGAAAGAACTGTGATTAAGGAATTCTGGAGGAAACTTTTTGTGATTCTTTGCTCAATTTCATATTTGCTTAAATAAATTCAATTAAATTTTACTTATATATGTATAGCGTTGTCTTTTCCTTAGGTTCGAAATAGAGTTCGACAGTTTTGAACATTGTGTCTTGGGGAAGATTCGACCATCCTTTGTTCCTTAGAGCGTAGATAATATGCTACATGGGCTGATTTGCTATTTGATATCTATTTAGACACAAGAGCAGCATAGTTAAAATCTTAGAATTTCATCCTTACTTCATTCTCAATTCAGTTGGGATGCTCGACTGCATTTAAACTTTTTGCTTTACGCAAGCTTATTGACGCTTTTTATACCCTGAACCCATTGAAAATGGGTATAAGGGTATATTGTATTTGTGCAAAATTCAAATGTATGTAACAGGCAGAAGGAAGCTTCTCCGACCCCATTAAGTATATATATTCTTGATCAGCATCAATAGCCGAGTCGATCTAGCCATGTCTGTCTGTCCTAGCGCCTGCGCAGATCTTGTTTGTTTCCGATAATCGATAACTTACTCTGTTTCCAAGAAATCGATAAAAATCGATATCGATATCCTGTTTTTTGGGCAATTTTGGTAAATAATAAGAGCCTAGAGTCACCAAACTTGACATATAGCTTCTAAAATAGAATATATATATGCATTTGATGTTGGAAGAAGAGGGTTCAGGGTATCCCCTAGTCGGGAGCTCCCGACTAGAACCTCTTACTTGTTTTTGTTGACTTTTTGAAAGCCACTTAGCTTATTAAGCGTACAATCGCTCAGATCCGGCAGCCCACTCTCCGGCTGTTGTTTCTTCCTTTCCTTTATTTTTCTTCTTCTTGAATGCAAATGTCAAGCAAAATGTTTAGCTCTGCCGTAAAAACTTGATTTATGCTAATTTGTTTTTTAATGCGCCAGGTTAAAATAATGGATACGAGCAAACAAGCCGCACATATATTTATTTGATTTTGTTTCTATTTTGTTTTTTTTTTTTTTTGTTTTAATGCGCTGCCATAAAACTAATGCCCGTCCAGTGCAGTCCCCCAGAGCGCAGAGTGCTTTGCAGACGTTGCGCATACGCCGCGTGGAACCGAAGAAAACAAAAAAAAAACACCCAACTTAAACTAAATAATATTGCAACACAGCGAAAACAAAAACAATAACAAAATGTTTATATTGTTTATATGCACACACATTGTATTGCATTTTCAAGTGAAAATCATTTTGACGAATGTTAGCAGTAGTTTTTCTTCGTACTATATCTTTTTGTTGTTGTTCTTTTTCGATATATTGTTTTATTTTGTCTTTTGGATTTTTTTCGTTTTCGACTCGTTGAGCCGTGGCACAAGGTCGCCGTCGCCTGTCGGCGCGAGAAATATTACGGCTAACCAAAAGATAAAATATATAAGCACGACGAACAGCATTAACAACAACAACAACAATAAGAACGAATCGTTTTGGCCAACTGTGTTGTCTGGCTGGCAGCCGGTTGTCTGTCGTTTTGTGCGTTGTGACGCGCTTTTTGCCATTGACACGCAATAAAAATATGTACTTAAAAATTGTAAAAATTAAGCATTTTTAATGTGCACAACATATCTTTATTAATTTACATATTTTTTTTTTCGGCTCATATACATATAACATTATTTTTTTTTTGGGCCTATTTATTAATTGTTTGCGTGGAGACGAGCCAAAAGCTGACGATCTGACAAATCAGGG